AGGGACTGTATTAAAGGGTCGCCACAACACGAGGGACTGTATTAAAGGGTCGCCGCAATACGAAGGACTGTATTAAAGGGTCATCACAACATGAGGGACTGTATTAAAGGGTCCCCACAACGCGAGGGACTGTATTAAAGGGTCGCCAAAACACAAGGGACTGTATTAAAGGGTCGCCACAACACGAGGAACTGTATTAAAGGCTCGCCACAACACGAGGGACTGTATTAAAGGGTCGCCACAACACGAGGGACTGTGTTAAAGGGTCCCCACAAAATGAGGGACTGCATTAAAGGGTCGCCACAAGACGAGGGACTGTATTAAAGGGTCGCGGCATTAGAAATGTTGATAACCGCTGCTCTAATATAACTTTACGGTTGAACAGGGTTTCTGGGACTTGTGCCTGAGGGAATTCTCATTAGAATGGTTTCACTTTGTGTCACCGACTGTTAAATGCTCGTTGTGTGGGCCTTGTAGGGTTAACGTCATTCAGTCAGTCACATGTTATTTTTACAAGGATAGAGTTGAAGGAAGTAATTTATGTAAGTCAGTCCCGAGAATTTCAGATATAAATAACAGTCTCAGATAATCAGAATGGCGCCTAGACTGTAAGATGTCAAATAGAAGCAGTCAACACTAACAGGTGCTACTCAACGTTGCCTTCCATGTGTTTACGTCTGTTGATCAAATAGCGATCACAAGCCGGAGAATGTGTCTTCATGTAACAGTGTCAAGGAAATTTACCCAAAGGCATCCTATGTGGGGGATCAGGACAGGCGTGTTTGTAAAACGGGTTTCGCGCGACAGTGAGGGGGCGAGAAAACGAGAGAATATTTGCACGGCCGTTCCCTGTTGAACGCACATTTTACTACACAAAGTATTGGGGCTCTCTTGAGGTATGTAGTTATCTTGGGCTTTTTTTTTTAAAGCTTACAGGCGGTTGGAGTTGACAATAGTTCACATTATTTCAACGCTTTGGTATAGGTTATGTTTACTTTTGCTTGTGTTGTAAGTCACTTGTGAATTAAAACTGTACTGAGTTTTCAAATTTGCCTGCCAACAATGTGTAGTTTTTTGCGAAGTGCGTAGTGTATTGCCTAATTTTCAACGTGCCTTGACTTTTGAGTGTTTGAAAGTACAGTTTTCGTTTTTAACAGTGTTAATTCATTCTCTAATTGTAATGAGTAACGGTTGTTTCGCCAGAAATGGATGGATGAAGCAACTAATACACAAAGAAGAGTTCAACAAAACGGCTGATTTTTGACAAATACATGGAATATTTTAATGACAGTGATTCTTAAATTCTACGGTGCCAGAGGATCCATCAAAAGGGCTACAACTCTTAACCTTTCACCTAGTAAATTTCCAGATTTGCAGAGTTCTCCAAACGTATGTAAATTAGAGATTTACTGAAATTATTGTTCTCTTATTTTTTTTTTTTTTTTGGTCCACTGTTCCATTCTTGTTGTTAGCAGTTACTGTCTTCATAATCGAGTCTATAGTCAGTAAAAATAGGACAAAAGACGACAAAAGACATCCTGTCGCACACATGTTTTAATTTCAAATGTATCTGTTAGCTTTCCCTCATATCTTTTTATGTTACCTTTACTAAGTTAATATTGGTATGTGGAACTCCATCGTGACCCATAAATTCCCAGAGAGATTCCCTATCAATGCTGTCAAAAGCTTTTTCATAGTCACACCATTGTAAAGTTCAATGCTTTGCTCTAGTATTATACGTAACGTGGCTATCTGGTCAGTACAGGATCTTTTTGGCCGAAAATCTGCCTGTTCATCTCTTAGCTTTCTGCCAATAGCAACATAATTCTTCTATAGTTTCTACTCTCCTGTAGATCATTGCTGAGTGACCAATAGTCGGTTTGTCACAGACGGAATAATCAGTTCTTAATCCTAATCATAATTATATAAAGCAGACAGAGAAGGTTCTAGTAGCTTCAGTTTGTACAAGCAGGCTACAGTAAGTTTACATAGATCAGTTTGTACAAGGAGGCTAGAGTCATTGTGTACATAGATTGTTTGCTCGCTACACAATTGCCTACAGTTGAAACAGAAATAGTGTTACCACTGTATCTCTATACTTTCCTGGTGCCGATGCGTCTAAAACTATGGTGTCCAGTATACAAAGATACTGTCACTACATGTTCCACCAAGCATCTACTGACACAGGTACGATGATTCTCAAACTATGGTGTGTAGTGTACAGAGATACTGTCACTACAAATATTTCCACCAAGAATCTATTGGTCTCGGCACTATGACTCTCAAACGATGATATCCAATGCAGAGAGATACTGTCATTACATGTTTCAACCTAACATCCACTAGCCCCAGGTACGAAGCTTCTTAAACTATGCTGTCTAATACACAGAGATAATGTCACTGCAGCTTTCAACTAGACTTTTCTAGTCCCGAGGCAAAGCTTCTCATGCTGTGCGTCCAATGCACAGAGACACTGAGACTGCATGATCAAACCGACCATCTCCAGTTCTCTTCACGATGGTTCTCAGACTATGATGTTTATTACACAGAGATACTTTCACTGTATGTTTCAAACCAGCAGCTTCTTGTCCCAACACGATGATTCTCAAACTGTGAACTATTTCAACATAAAGTATGTTAAAGTACACAACCATATACAGACACCTTGACGACAAGGGGGTATAGTGTTAGCTAGATTCACATGACTGCTGACGAATCAACATTTGATGGCTGCTGTGGTAAGCACCACACCAGTCACCTTCACACCACATCAGTCACCTTCACACCACATCAGTCACCTTCACATCACATCAGTCACCTTCACATCACATCAGTCACCTTCACACCACACCAGTCACATTCACACCACACCAGTCACCTTCACATCACACCAGTCACCTTCACATCACATCAGTCACCTTCACATCACACCAGTCACCTTCACATCACATCAGTCACCTTCACACCACACAAGTCACCTTCACACCACATCAGTCACCTTCACACCACATCAGTCACCTTCACACCACACAAGTCACCTTCACACCAGATCAGTCACCTTCACATCACATCAGTCACCTTCACACCACATCAGTCGCCTTCACACCACATCAGTCGCCTTCACACCATATCAGTCACCTTCACGCCACATCAGTCGCCTTCACACCACATCAGTCGCCTTCACACCACATCAGTCACCTTCACATCACATCAGTCACCTTCACACCACATCAGTCGCCTTCACACCACACCAGTCACCTTCACATCACACCAGTCACCTTCACATCACATCAGTCACCTTCACATCACACCAGTCACCTTCACATCACATCAGTCACCTTCACACCACACCAGTCACCTTCACACCACATCAGTCACCTTCACACCACATCAGTCACCTTCACACCACACCAGTCACCTTCACACCACATCAGTCGCCTTCACACCACATCAGTCACCTTCACACCACACAAGTCACCTTCACACCAGATCAGTCACCTTCACATCACATCAGTCACCTTCACACCACATCAGTCGCCTTCACACCACATCAGTCGCCTTCACACCATATCAGTCACCTTCACGCCACATCAGTCGCCTTCACACCACATCAGTCGCCTTCACACCACATCAGTCACCTTCACATCACATCAGTCACCTTCACACCACATCAGTCGCCTTCACACCACACAAGTCACCTTCACACCACACCAGTCACCTTCAAACACATCAGTCACCTTCACACCACAACAGTCACCTTCACATCACACAAGTCACCTTCACACCACATCAATCACATTTTCACCACATCAGTCACCTTCACACTACAACAGTCAATTTCACACCACATCAGTCGCCTTCACACCACATCAGTCACCTTCACACTAGTCACCTTTACACCACATCAGTCGCCTTTACACCACATCAGTCACAACATGATTATTAAAGGGTCGTCACAACATGATTATTAAAGGGTCGTCACAACATGATTATTAAAGGGTCGTCACAACATGATTAATAAAGGGTCGTCCCAACATGATTATTAAAGGGTCGTCACAACATGATTATTAAAGGGTCGCGGCGTTAGGCAGGTTGAGAACCACTGGCCTAAAGGTACAGAAATGGTCCCTATACATTTTCTATCTTTTTGAGCACGTCGTCTTTAGAAGCTGTTAGCACAACCAGATTGTAGAAAAGGACGGGCAGGTAATGTTAACAGATTGTTCGATCGCTACACTTGCTGAAAACAGGTCCCCTGTGGACTCAGTGTGTTAGATGTGTGTCTTCCATCCCCTCACTGTCCTGGTAGAGTGGTTCTCATAATGTGTTTAACGGTAACCTCTTCATGTGGGGAAAAGTCAAATGATTTGAGCCTGATGTCACAGGATAGATGCCTTTTCAAGGCGAAAGCAGAAGAATTGTTATTTTATCTGTTGTTTATTAATATCCTACCCGAAACAGGAAAAATCCAAAGGTCACCGGACAGTCTAATATTTCAGGAGGTGATAGATAGGCTGCATGCAGTCGTGGGACCTAGTCTGCATGTAGTCGTGGGACGTAGACTGCACTGTCTTGTGGGACGTAGGTGGGTTGGGGTTAGGGCCAGTCATACATGTTTTGGGGTCGTTAAAAGCACCAGAAAGACGGGTAACCCAGTCTTACCACCTTCTAAAATATTGGACTGTCCTGTGAGGTCATTTGGGGTAGGATATTAATAAAGCACCTTTAATCTTATATTTTGGTCTCCGGTTAAGCCATTGGATCTGCGTTCTGGAAGCTGTGTGTTCGTTTTACGGACGGCCTCGTTTCGCGTTAGCCTCGTTTTACAGACTCTCAACCCAGTTTTTACTTTGGTGGTGAGAAGGACCTGGTTGGAGAATGAAGGGTTGAGCCATCCTTTACCCGTGTTGCCTACATTTGTTAGTTGCCCCCCCCCCCCCTTTTTTTTTTTTTTACTTTGCCTCTCAGCCCAAGTGGATTAACAGGAAATTCCCGCAACGATGGCGGCCATTAAAACACGACCTCAAGTGCGCTAGCGACTCTTCTCTACCGAATTTCTTATATCTACAATCTATAGTTTAAGCGTTTGTGACTTAAGCGTTGCGAACGCGCTTCGTAATGCCAAAGTTCCGGGTTAGATCCTAGCTGCGTGCCTTGCGCCTTGCATTGGTTTTGACAGTAGTTTGGACAAGCCGACCGTCCTAAAAACAATGGAAAAGTACTAGACGTAAATTTGCCTTAACAAAACATAACAGCAAAAAAATGCTAGGATTGGTTCTGCAACGTCCTGTTAAGGATACGCAACTAACTGTTAACAATCTATAGAACATAAAATGTAGTGACCCTTAAGTACATAGAGGACCCTTTTCCACACCTTCATGTTTATTCGGTGTAAAGTGCTACAGACCTAAATTTTAGAGACCAATCTTTACTTGGTAAGTTACGTGTATTCACTATCAGACTGGCCGCCTTAACTTCCCATGACTTTACCTGTTACCCATTTAAGGTTTGGTCGACCCAGGAGCTAAAATAATTTTTGGAGAAAAAAAATTCCGGCTTCTTTCAGATTTGAATCCATGACATTCGGATCCGCAGGCGAGCACCAAACATCTACAGAGAAAACAATGGCCAAGCGAACCAAGAAGGTTGGAATTGTGGGAAAGTATGGTACCAGATATGGTGCTTCTCTAAGAAAGACTGTCAAAAAGATGGAAGTGACCCCAACACAGTACCTACACCTGTCCATTCTGCGGAAAGGAAGCCATGAAAAGAAAAGCTGTTGGTATCTGGAAATGTAACAGGTGTTCTAAAACTGTTGCCGGTGGTGCTTGGGTTTACCCAACAACTACAGCAGCCCAGGTTAGAAGTGCTATTCGTCGTCTAAGAGAAATGAAAGAAATTTAAAAAAAGCTTTTTTTTTTAAATAATAAAAAAAAAAAAAAAAACATCTACTCCACTATGGCTCCCATACTATCTATAGAGCAAACAAAAAATTTAATGTACGTTACCGGGTATTAAAAGAGTTAGACTGAAACCTACATCAACGCCATCGAGCGACTGCATAGTTAACACAGTTGGCCGCGGGGAGAGAACTCCCACTGAAAGCGACTAATAAGAGTTACCAAAACGATCAGTCACTTCGTTCAACATCAACGGCTAGGAACAGACTGGGGCATTTCTGACCACTATAGTGTGTTTCAAAACTCATGCCGTCGCAATTTAACAAATGTCTCGAAAACTCTTGTAGAAATCAACACAAATATTTGCCAATGGCCTTAGATTCCCCATGTCCTTGCGATTCTAAAATTTACAGCTGTGCAGATGCTACTTTTAACGGGTGAATTTCTATTATCTTTTTTTGACCAATAATTTAATTAGTCGTAATAAAATAGACTATACGGTAATTGATACACGTATGGAGATTTTTGGTTATCTGTTCACATGTGCAGCAAACGAATCTTTGGAAAGGGGGAAGCTTCTCGCAAGTAGTCTGGGAAGTTACAAGCCAGGAAAGGACACTTGGGCAAATGCGGCCACTTTTGCTTTTGACGTATATGAAGGGTTCCAGAACAGACAGGAAACTATGGCGGTAGGATTGGATCTCGAGGATGCTTATAACAGAGTGAGATACGACATCTTAATGACTGCACTGAGGGAGAAGGAGGTCAGTCCATGGCTGGTGAATTGGGTTGCAGCTGTCCTGTATTCACGTCGGGTTGCTCTCCGACTTGGCTCATGGACCTCTGAACCATGCATTTTGGCCCCAGGACTGCCACAGGGATCCGCCATCTCGAATGTGCTGTTCAACGTGTATACGAGCAAGATTGCAAGCCTAGAAGCACCAGGAGTTGGAAGGATATTGACTTTTTGCGGATGATATACTTGCGTATAGGCAGGGAGGAGAGAGGGAACAAACAGCTCGGGAGCTACAAGCGACAGTAGACAAAGTGACTGAGTGGTGTACAGAAATGAGGGCTGTCGTCCACCCGGAAAAGGCGTCTGTTTTGTCGTGTTCTCTGGACAACAGAATAGTTAAAGCTAATGTCCCAAGTCTCACGATAGATGGTAGAAACGTCAACAGAGAGAGCAAACTGAAGTATCTGGGAATTACATTTGACAGGAGCCTGTTATTTAAGGACCATGTGGAGAGTGTTGTGACGAGATGCCAAAAGGGACTTAGTGCACTTAAGTCTATGGCTGCAATTAACATGGAGCAGAGAATGTTTTTCACACTATATCAGCACCTGATCCTGTCAGTGGTTGATTATGGCTTGGGACTGCTTACCGTCTCAAAGAGTCAGATGGACAAACTAGAGCGCATACAGAACGCGGCTATGCGGGTCATTCTGGGTTGTACCAGAGACACCCCAGTGGTGTGTATGCGATACATCCTTGGTTTGCCGACGGTTGCAGGTAGGCACAAGGTGCTGCAGGCGAAGTCATATCTCAGGGTAGCTGCAGACACAGACCACCCTCTGCATGAAGCTCTGGGTGCAGTTAAGGGTCAGCGGCGGATAAGAGGGAGGTCATGGATGGCTCAGGCAGAAGACACAAACAAACAGGTTTGCATCCTTGAGAACATTAGGCGAGGAGAGGAGTGGGTCAAAGTGCCACCTGAGCAGTCAGACCTGTGTAGATTCATAATCACGCTTACCTGGGAATGCAGAGACTGGTCAGCAGGTGCCACAGAGGTGGAAATTCAGCAATTAATTCAAGATAATGCTCGCTCGGAGGATTTGATCATCTACACAGACGGTTCAGTGTTAAGAGGCGAAAGGTAATGGTCGACGTTTGGTGCAGGAGAGCCTAGCATAGCATACCACAACATCCTGCTTAAGAATGGAGGTGGAGGCGGTCACTGCAGCTTTCCGCTGGCTAGAGAACACGACACACACACACACATCGTGATTGTAACTGATTCAGAAAGCATGCTGAGGAAGATCAGAACAGGTATGCTTCGTGCAGAGTGGCATGCTTCGCTGCGGAGGACACGAGTGAGGAGGATTGTCTGGATTTTTTCACCGGGTCACGCCGATGTGTTGGGAAATGAACAGGCGGACAGACTGGCTGGCTCTGCACAACTTAGTGGAATACTGATACATGATAGGGCAGACGTGGTTAGTGCCTTGTGGGAGAGCATGTACAATTCGGAGGAGCAGATGGATCACCACAGTCTGGTGAGATTGATGCAGTTGGGGGTAAAGAGAGGTTCTGGCAAAAGCTCGAGGCTCAGAGGAAAGGCAAGACGGACGTTTAATCAGAAAGCTACTGGCACCATTAGTATCGGAACTCTTCGCTGGCTGCTGAAGATGGGGACGAAATTCCCCGAGTGCTGTGATGTCGGTTCTTGAATAAAATCAAATCAAATCAATGTGCAGCCATTTGTGGTGATTATTTTGATAGTCCATTCCCACTCACAGAAAAATCCGCAACTCACAGAGACTTATTCTGGAGATGACCCCTAAAAGTGAAACATCTATGACACACTGACAGTCTGCTGTTAAGAAAAGTCTCCCTTACTCGTTTTACTGAAGTATGCTGATTTTTGCCTTGAATCGGTGTCAAGAATTGATTTGATTTTTTTTGGCCGCAAATAAGGCATATTGAAAACTAAATGTTTGTTTACAATAACACACACACACACACACACACACACACACACACACACACACACATATATATATATATATATATATATATATATATATATATATATATATATATATATATATATATATATCATATATATACGAGGCCATTATTATTAACAGCCTGCATGGCAAATTTCAACAGCTCATACCCAACGGTTACTGAGGTACAGACTTTTAAAGTTCGGCATAACTTATGAAACCCACTAAAATATTCCTTAGCTTCTTCGTGCAAACCTTCCTATCTACTGGAAATTAGGACGTGATTTTCCGGTCTTAAATCTCTGTCACATAGAAGGCTGTTCTTAAGCTGTGCATCTCTGTTGTAACCTCACTTAATCTCCTACGCTAGTGAGTATGGGTTTCAAATTGTCTCTTTACTAGTAGGCCTATGGTAACATTTCAAAGTACAGAACAGAATAAAGTGATGGTGTTATATTGTATTCTTCTTCTTCTTCTTCTTCTTCTTCTTCTTCTTCTTCTTCTTCTTCTTCTTCTTCTTCTTCTTCTTCTTCTTCTTCTTCTTCTTCTTCTTCTTCTTCTTATTATTATTATTATTATTTCTATTATTCTTCACCTGCTTTAAACTGCAGCGGAAAGTCATGGTTGTTCGTCCACCTGTGGACTTTAGTCTTGTACATGAACTTAAAGTCTGACATTTTTGTATGCAGACTGTTGGTTCCTTGCCTCTCACGCTGATGCCCTCCGACTTCGAAGGGAAGGCTGTGTGTCTGTCCTTGCTTTCCCCCATAAAGAGACCCCGGAATCCACACAGAGAATATTGTAACGTTACTGCCTACATCCACATGTCTGTCTACGATCTCTCTCTATCTATCTGTCTGTCTCAGACACGTCTATACGTTGCATGGCGATCCCATTGCTTCCCATTACTTCTGTTGCAATGGTTCTCAAAATTCCTAAGTCGGCGACCCTTTAATACAATTCCTTATGTTGTAGCGACTCCGAACAATATACTTATTTTCGTTGCTACTCCATAACTTTAGTGAATATGTGCTTTCCGATGGTCTTTGGCGACCCCTATGAAAGGGTCGTTCGACCCACAAAAGGGTTGAAAACCACATGTTGAGAACCGCTGTTCTATTGTGACATTTTAACTGTGAAACAACACACCCGCCACCCACTGATGTAACGTGTGTAGGTAAGTTTTAGACCAACCACTGTGAGCAGGATGTGTCATCGCATAGAATCGATTCTTCCTCTAATCCCACTACACACCTCTACTGTGTGTTTTTCATTAACACAGTCTTGACAATAGTACATAGTCAGTGAGGTCAGAGGTCAGGGGTCAGGTACATTAACGTGCTCTGTAGGAAGCGCTTCAATCAATCAGGTATAATGCACTTCAATCAATCAGGTATAATGCACTTTAATCAATTAGGTATAATGGACTTCAATAAATCAGGTATAATGCACTTCAGTCAATCTGGTATAATACACTTTAAAAAAATCAGGTATGATGCACTTCAATCAGGTATAATGCACTTCATTCAATCAGGTAATTAAGTCAATCAAGTATAAGGCACTTTAGTCAATCAGATATAATGCACTTTAGTCAATCAGGTATAATGCACTTTAGTCAATCAGGTATAATGCACTTTAGTCAATCAGGTATAATGCACTTTAGTCAATCAGGTATAATGCACTTTAGTCAATCAGGTATAATGCACTTTAGTCAATCAGATAAAATGCACTTTAGTCAATCAGGTATAATGCACTTTAGTCAATCAGGTATAATGCACTTTAGTCAATCAGGTATATTGCACTTTAGTCAATCATGTATAATGCACTTTAGTAAATCAGATATAATGCACTTTAGTCAATCAGATATAATGCACTTTAGTCAATCAGGTATAATGCACTTTAGTCAATCAGGTATAATGCACTTTAGTCAATCAGATATAATGCACTTTAGTCAATCAGGTATAATGCACTTTAGTCAATGAGATATAATGCACTTTAGTCAATCAGGTATAATGCACTTTAGTCAATCAGGTATAATGCACTTTAGTCAATCAGGTTAAATGCACTTTAGTCAATCAGGTATAATGCACTTTAGTCAATCAGGTATAATGCACTTTAGTCAATCAGGTATAATGCACTTTAGTCAATCAGATATAATGCACTTTAGTCAATCAGATATAATGCACTTTAGTCAATCAGATATAATGCACTTTAGTCAATCAGATATAATGCACTTTAGTCAATCAGATATAATGCACTTTAGTCAATCAGATATAATGCACTTTAGTCAATCAGATATAAGGCACTTTAGTCAATCACATATAATGCACTTTAGTCAATCAGATATAATGCACTTTAGTCAATCAGGTATAATGCACTTTAGTCAATCAGGTATAATGCACTTTAGTCTATCAGATATAATGCACTTTAGTCAATCAGGTATAATGCACTTTAGTCAATCAGGTATAATGCACTTTAGTCAATCAGGTATAATGCACTTTAGTCAATCAGGTATAATGCACTTTAGTCAATCAGGTATAATCTCCAAAATGAAGGCTAGCTGCAGTGGATCTCTAAACCTTTCTCTCTCTCTCTTTCTCTCTCTCTCTGTCTCTCTTTCTCTCTCTTTCTCTCTCTCTCTCTCTATCTCTCTCTCTCTCTCTCTGTCTTGCCAGCTCCTACACACACACAAACATACACTCTCTCTCTCTCTCTCTCTGTCTCTCTCGCCAGCTCCTACACACACACACTCTCTCTATCTCTGTCTTGATAGCTCCTACACACACACACACACACACCCACACTCTCTCTCTCTCTCTCTCTCTCTCTCTGTCTTTCTCTCTCCTACACTCTCTCAGCATGCGGCTCATCCATCTTTGGATGCTATCAGCTCGCTTGCTAGAGTTTCGTTAGAATGCAGCAAGATCAGATACCATCACAGACGCTACATTTCATAGATGATCAGCTGCAAGATCAGATACCATCACAGACGCTACATGTCATAGATGATCAGCTGCAAGATCAGATACCATCACAGACGCTACATTTCATAGATGATCAGCTGCAAGATCAGATACCATCACAGACGCTACATGTCATATATGATCAGCTGCAAGATCAGATACCATCACAGACGCTACATTTCACAGATGATCAGCTGCAAGATCAGATACCATCACAGACGCTACATTTCATAGATGATCAGCTGCAAGATCAGATACCATCACAGACGCTACATTTCATAGATGATCAGCTGCAAAAGCATGAGGACGACAGCGAGATAATGGATCGACAGCATTAAAGACACTCTGCGCCTTGAGGGCATGACAATAGCCAGTGGTGGGCAGCCCGCACTGGATCGCAACGTAACGGCAGAAGTGGTTTATGATTATGAGGATCTCTCTTGCATCGCTGACCACCCTTTGCTGTTATGTTTTCAACATTTCCATAAAGTGTGATTGTTATAATAATGACCTCTCTTAATGAGGCAATATTCCCCTGTGTGGGTTCCAGGGCCCTGTTATAGGGAAAGCAAGAATAGACCCACTGCCTACCCAAAAGCATGTCGTAAGAGTCGAATAATTGGGAGCTTCCTTCGAAGTCGGAGTGCATCTGCCTGAGAGGCAAGGAACCAACAGTCTGCACACAAATGCGTCAGATCTGTCAAACGGATGCACATGCAACACTCAGGTTCTGGAACAGGACTGCAGTACAGAAGTGAACGAACAACCAGAATTTTCCACCAGAGTTTACAGCTGGTGAACGCAAAGAAGAAGAAGAATGGGGCCACAATATTTTGCTTGCCTCTTGTCTCCTTCCTAGCTCTTGATTTGTTTATTCCCTGCTTCTCATAAAACCTCTGTATTTGATTTTACATTCCTCGTGGAAAAAAATCTGGCAACATGAGGACGAATAGAACATGAGTTCTTAACCCTTTAGCTCGGTACTATGGATATCGCAACCCTTCGGCCTTGATTCCATGATATATACCGTAAATCTGGGAGAAATGTGTGGCTTTTCTGAACCCGGACCACAAGGAGTTCGTCACCCATACATCGTGAGTCAGGCTTAGCCAACTACGCTAGCGAGCCGAGCAAACGAATAGACTGAATGATTGAGAGCACATAGAGACAACGACAGATAAAAGAGAGGCACAAGCTGTACCACAAGTGTTGAGTGAGAGTAGACCACGAGGCAACTCAAGAAGACCGTGGATAGATAATATTCAGACACATTTACAAACATTTGAGGTCTCTAAAGTGATGGCCGGTCACAGAGGTTGTGAGATTTTAAACAACGGATCAACACTATGACACACGGGTGTAACCCATAAGTGCTCCGTTCTTCTTCTAACTCAAGTCTGAGTCCGAAGAAGCTCAGCGCAGTTCACAGGCTCTGTAGCACCGGCGAGGCTTCTGAAATACATAAATTCTTTTCCTCTTTCTCCCATCCTCCTCCTTCTGCGTCTGTTCTTCCTTCTTCTTCGCCTTCACTGGCTGAAAGTTTCGAGGGAAAGTAATGGTTGTTCTTCCACTTCTGTACTGAAGTCTTGTTTCATAACTTGTCTTTTGTGTGCACATACGTTTTAGAGATGTGTGCAGACTGTTAGTTCTCGCCGTAAAGGCAGATGCGCTTCGACTTAGGAAGAAAATTCCTAATTAGTCGCTTTGTGCGATATACCATTCTATTCTACTCCCCCCCCCCTCCCCCACAAAATGGGATCCCGAAACCCACCCGGGGATAAAAGTACAGTTGAATGTCAAACTTTCTGCAGATATACTAAGTTTTTAACCGATGTCTCTCACGATGTCAACAGGTAGCAATTCATGATGTGACAACTTGACTGTTAGTGTCGCTAGATGACATCAAAGTAGCGCTACAACAGACATTTCAGTGCACGTTTCTTCAGGTGGTTCTTGTGTTGCTGTCACGTGGGGACATATACCATGGCATCGACTAAAGTTACCTTTGTGACCGGTACAGCTGAGGTTCGGAGGAGAGGTGAGAATTGTTACTTTAGTGGCTTTTTTCCTTAGAGCTGCAGAGACACATTGATAATCTAGTTCGGTGGAGTGGTGAGAATTGTTACTTTAGTGGCTTTTTCCTTAGAGTTGCAGAGAAACATTGAAAATCTGGTTTGGCGGAGAGGTGAGAATAGTTACTTTAGTAGCTTTTTTTTTCCTTAGAGTTACAGAGATACGTTGATAATCTAAAAGCAGAAGCAAAAGCGCAAAACATAACTGAAAAAACGGGTAAAAAAAAATAAAAAATTTATGACAATTGCAAGAAGAGAGCAGTCAATCATGGTACACATTAAAATCAAAATCCAACAGGACCCTTAAAAGCGCTGACATCCTGGAATATACAGCACGCGATATCACCTGCCCGGTGAAGAGTATGCAGAAAGCTTTTCAAGGAAGACAATACGCCGGGACACCCCTGTCACCTTCAGCAAAGTTTACGAGTCTAATGGAGTATGAATGAAAGGTGAGGTAGTGTGTAAATGGGTCGACCCTGGCATGGAAACGTGAGTTGTACCCAAGTATCTAGGGTGCAGAAGATCATTCAACTGAAAAATGGAAGCAGCGATATATAATAAAGCAAATGAAATCTGAGATAGATGTCACCAATTTTGCACAGCAAAACAGTTGACTCCAAAAGAACGCTTTTTAATACAATATTTTTACCAACATTGTTAAGGGGGCTGCGTGGTCTCCAGGCAGGGTGTCCGCCTCGAGTGCTGGAGGTTTGGGGTTCAATCCCCGGTAAGGGCTGGGATTTTATCACGTGGACTTGGACTTGAGATCGGACACCCGTGTGCAATGTTGCGCACGAAAAAATTCCTTGGAGTTGGAAATCGAAAAGAGTAGTCTGGCGGTGCCGCCGGGGCAAAATTTGGGGTTAAAAATCTACCCAAAGTATTTCGAGATCCCCGCCGGTGCTACATAGTCTGTGCACTGTGCTGAGCTTCTTCGGATTCAGACTTGAGTTAGAACTAGAACGGAGCACATATAGGTAACCACCCGTGTGTCACGATGTAGATCTGTTGTTCAAAACCCAAAACCGAAACCAACATTGTTTTACCAGTTCCAAACGTGGATATTCACATCAACAGAAACAAATAAATTGAAAGAACAGAAATAAAATGTCTACGGCGAACTGCAAATGTACCCAGAAAAGACAAAATTAGAAATGATGGTATCAGGAAAGAAGTTAAGACGGAACGAGAACTAAACTACACTAAGAGACAACCAATCAATAAGTGTGGAAATATGTCCAGGCTACTTCTAGATAGTGCACCACAGAGATCTCTCTCACTTAGACGTAAAGGAAGTAGAGTAGGAGGACGACCACACAAGCGATGGATAGATGGAATATCCGAGGCCGTAAATAATAGCATCTACATAGTACCAATACTCGCACTCGATACCTCTTCACAACCTGACACTGAAAGGCAGATCTAGATGATGATAATTATGATGAAGAGAAGAAGAAAAAGAAAAAGAAGAAGAAGAAGAAGAAGCAGATGATGATGATGATGATGATGATAATGATGAAGAAGAAAAGAAGAAGAAAAAAAAAAAAAGAAGGGGCTTTTTCTTCTTCTAGGTGTCCAAGTGTATATGCAGCATACCGATCAGGAATACAGAGTAGATAAAAGGCTCTTTGATCTACTGGATATTAATTCTTTTTTTTAAAGCTTCTTCGTACAGTCCATGCTATATGGCGTTGGTAGTCATTGTCTTCTGTCTCGTGTAGTTTCAGTCAGTTCTGTCACTGATGATATTCCATGCCATGATGTCAGACGGCCCAGCATCTTCTCTCTGTGTCTTCCCGTGCTCCCTTTTCCTTCAGTTGTCCGTTGTCTGGATGTAGTCAGCTTTAATCTTCGCATAACGTGACCAAAGAAAGCAGGATCTTAAACAGAAGTGTACCCACTACACCCTTGAGGTTAGCTACAGGGTTACAGGGTTACAGCTACAGTCAGTCAGACAGTAGTCCTTTGCAGAATCTAGCTCTCATAACAAGCCTCCGGAAAACTTCTCGATCACAAGCAAGATATCCCGCGTCCCATACAGCCACATTTGCACCTATCTTCTCTTTGGCCTTCCTTTTCCCCTCTTCTCTCCATTAGTCTTCTTCTGCCTTTCTATCCCCAATGGAGCATAGGCCCTCAACCAACTCACGCCAAGTCGTTTTATCATTCGCTATTGCATGGAGCTCTCCCCATGTCCTCCCCATCTTTATAACTTCATTCTCCAGCTCTCTTCTCCATGTGTTTTTTGGCCTTCCTTTATTCCTATGCCCCTGTGGGTTCCAATGCAAAGACATTCTAGTTATGCTGTTCTCCTGTTTTCTCAGTGTGTGTCCTATCCAACGCCATCGTCTTTTCCTCACCTCTTGGTCCACTGGAGCAAGAACACTCCATGTTTCCGCCCCATACAATAGTACTGATTTGACATTGGAATTAAAAATTTTTAGTTTAGTATTTCTTTTAATTTCTTTTGACCTCCACAAATTCCCTAGTGCTATGAAAGCCCCTCTTGTCTTTTGTATTCTTTTTTTAATATCTCTATCAGTTCCTCCATCTTTATCTACACTACTGCCTAAATAGGTGTACGACACCACGTCTTGGAGTGGGGTGCCATTTAGAGAAACCACACTACTATTTGCCTGATTTATTCTCATTATCTTTGTCTCTCCATTAGTGTTCTCTCCAAACTTTCGTGTCATTTCAAGTGACCAAAATATTTCAGTTTTCTGTGTTTTATCGTCTTTAATAGCCAACTTTTCTCAATATTCACTTCTTGAAGTATGGATGCATTTATTCTTTTCTTTACCCATGATATTCTTAAAACCCTTCTATAACATTTGTATTCAAAGGCATTTATGCGCTGTTCAGCTTGTTTAGTAAGTGTCCAGGTCTCACAGGCGTGCAGTTACAGTAGTTGCAAGGTTAGTTGCGTATCCTTTACAGGACTTTCCAGAACCAACCACAACAGCCCCTGGCTGTTGTGTGGTTTTTCTAGGCAATTTACGCCCAGTAGTTTGCCATTGCTCTCTGGACGGTCAGCTTTCTTTACAGTAGTAGTAATTGCTATATTAGTAAACCCTGTAATTCTTCTGCTCTCAAAAATATTTCGTTTCCCTTCAGATCGAAGTCACGACCCACAGGCGACCATGCTCCAGACAGAGCAGCACTTCGTCACGGAGCCAAGCGCGCCCCTAGCGGTGGCTTATGTGGATGGAAAGTGTAGCTGTTGTCCCTATGGTTACCACATCGACCTTGACTTTCTCAACTTCTGCAGTGACCTGGAAAGAGGTTCAACCCTGAAAAACCTGAAAAAGATTCAGCGCACTAAACGAAATTTGAGAAAGTCCATGGAAGTAAGTTCTGTAACTTTCATTGAAAGCGGCCGTGCAGAATGGGTATTTTCAAAGCTATGAAACACATGCAGATTCTTTATTGTACATCATTAGGGTCTTCGTCACCACTATTGTAGTAGTAGTAGCAGTAGTAGAAGTAGTGGTAGTAGTAGTAGTAGTAGTAGTAGTAGTAGTAGTAGTAGTAGTAGTAGTAGTAGTAGTAGTAGTAGTAGTAGTAGTAGTAGTAGTAGTAGTAGTAGGAGTAGTAGTCGTAGTAGTAGTAGTAGTAGTAGTAGAAGTTGTAGTAGTAGTAGTAGTAGTAGTAGTAGTAGTAGTAGTAGTAGTAGTAGTAGTAGTAGTAGTAGTAGTAGTAGTAGGAGTAGTAGTAATAGTAGTAGAAGTAGTAGTAGAAGTAGTAGTAGTAGTAGTAGTAGGAGGAGGAGTAGTAGAAGGAGTAGTAGTAGGAGTAGGAGTAGTAGTAGTAGGAATAGTAGTAGGAATAGTAGTAGGAGTAGGAGCAGTAGTAGGAGTAGTAGCAGGAGTAGGAGCAGTAGTAGTAGCAGCAGCAGCGGTATTAGTAATAGTAGTAACAGTAGTAGTCGTTTTCCAATGTAAATGCTACAGACGCACTTTACGAATTTGTTATTTAGAACTAATAAATATGTCAGAGACACAATATATAAATTTGCAGGAGCTTCTCTTAGCAGTGGTGAATCGTCCGCAGGCTGGCTTGGTTTGGGCACGCGGTGAGACGTATATCGATTGCAAAGAGTGTGCTTCAAGCAAGGGGGGGGGGGGTGTGCGGTGGAAGAAGAGGAGGTCAAAGAAGAACTAGAATGATAACATTAGGAAATGTACAAGACTAAGTTATCATTCACTTACCTCAGAGGTCTGGAGTTTGAATCTGCACTGGGACTGAAATTCTTAATTAACCTAGGGCTCCCAGGTCGGCCTAGCTTAAACATAAGTACGAAAAAATGGTGTGGGAAATAAAGGCAGCAGACCTTTGTTAATCAAATCACTAGTGGAGTGCCGATTGGTCTATGGAAATCTGAGCCCGGTACCAGTGTACCACTGGGGTCTTATAGGGTCATAGGCAATGGAACCTTGACCCCCCCCCCCCCCTTCTTCCCTCTCTCCTCTCCCCTGCTCCAATAAAAAAAGTCTTAGCGGGGCTGAACTCCAACTGCATGTAATATTGGAAAGGGGAAAGCTGACTCCCCTAACCTTGTATGGACGTTTTTTTCTTCTTTTGTTTTTGTTTGTTAAAGTATTTGTTTATGTAGCTCATATTATTTCAGATATTATTTTTATTTGCCATTTAGCAGATAATAATAATAATAATAATAATAATAATAATAATAATAATAAAAATAAAAATAAAAATAATAATAATGGACCTGTTCACGTTTCCCGGCCCATCTACATACTTTCTCATTCTGATCTAGGTCAGAGGGGTGTCACGTTGTACTGCTTTCTTCCAAAAGAATATCTTCTGTGACCCAGGTTGAGGCTGTGGGTAAAGGAAAAAGGACGGGGGGGGGGGGGGGGGGGTTGGGTTGAGTTAGGGCCAATTCTTCATGTTCTGGTGTAGTTGAAATCTGTTCTGTGTGGTCCGTGTAATTGGAGGTAAGACAACGTGACACCCCTCCAACATAGAAGAGTCTGAGAAAGTATGAATGAAGGGTCAGGTAGTGTGTAGATGAGCAGGAAAACGTAAACAGGTTCATCATAATAATAATAAAACTAATTATAATAGAAGACTCTCACAGCCAGTACTCCGGTCGCAGGTGGGGGTCGGAAAAAGAAGACGATGGCGATAATGATGATTTTGATGAAGATGAAGAATTATATCATCATCATCATCATCATTAACATCATTGTCCTGTTTTTCCATTATATGTCACACAGAGATTCTCATAGGTAGGATCCACTCCAGTAGCTTTGGCCTCTCTCATCAGTGATTGCTTTTGGGTTTCTTTTGGGAGTCCTAACTTCCTCAATCCCTTTATTTCCCATTGTAGTGCCTGATTGGTAATTGCATGTTGGTTTTTTCTCAAGATGTGGCCAAAAAGTTCCATCTTCTCTGTTTTATAACTGTTGTTACCAGTGCTTGCCCAGACATTACTCTTATTTCTTCACCTTTTTTAAATTCTTCCTATGAAGTTTAACTTTTTCTGTCCCAAATTAACACCCTATGAGTGCTCAATTTATGTCTTTGTGTATCAAAGCAACACATGGTGTGCTATTATTTATTTCATGTTTGGTCTGGGTATGCATAAGAAATCTGGCCAAAAATTTCAAAATCAGGTCAGTATTTGCTTTATCATTGAAAGTAATTTACTGGTGTTTTTTTTCCAATGTGACTGTTGCCTCAAACAGTGTTGCTACTTTGAAATCATCTGCAACTAAAAGAATTAAAATACCATATTTGTTAATGAATGTTTATGGTTCATGCAATATCCATACTGACCATACTCAGATCATGCTGAACGAACAAGAAGGTGTCAAGGCTGATCCAAGCTCGGCTCCTCCAGATATCGTCAGGTCAACCGAAGCTGAGAGGCTGATGCACATGGTCAACTTTGAACAGTCAGCTACTGTCAACATCCTTCGACAGATTGATACATCGGTTAGAACAGACATGGCCAGTTTTGAGAGTAGAGCGGCCTGGAGGAGTCCGGATACAACAGAGGACGTAAGGTCAGTTTTGTGTAGATATTCTATTGTTTCTTCAGTTCCTCGTGTGGGTTCCGAGACCCTATTGTGGGGGAAAGCAAGAATAGACCCACTGCCTACTCAAAAGCATGTCATAAGAGTTGACTAATTGGGAGCTTACTTTGAAGTCGGATTGCATCTGCCTGAGAGGCAAGGAACCAGCAGTCTGCATACAAATGAGTCAGATCTGTAAAACAGATACACATGCAAACCTTAGGTTTTAGAACGTGACTGCAGTCCAGAAGTGGATGAACAACCAGAACTTTTTGTCACAGCTGGTGAACGCGAAAAGGAATTTTCTTTAGTATTATAACTTAAGTGGAAACTTAAATGATGTGGTTTTGTTAATGAATGAGGTCAAGTTATGGGGTTTTAGGGTCCCGAGGGCTGTGTTAGCGCAGTCGATTGCAGACTCACTTTCAAATCCAGCTGTGACTCGCTTCAGCCCATGGCCGGTGTTCGAAACCGGCTGTTCCCATGGTTAACCCGCCTCTAAGTAATGGGTACCAGAGTTAACACTCTAGGGTAAATGGAGGAACGTTGCTGTAGCTACAGAGGTACATGCGGATGGCGACACATGCGGACAGTTTTTTATCAGCTGTCCGTACTGGTGGCAGAGTACTTATGGTTTATAACCATGTGCAATGATGCTGGTTCACATCTCCCGACTTTACCTCTACCTTCTTTAGCAAGCATGTCATCAAAAGTGAATAATTAGGGAGGTTTTCCTTTGCATTCAGTGTTTATCTGTCTGAGAGGCCAGAAACCAACAGTTTGCATACAAATGAGCCAGAGCTGTAATACAGATGTGCATGCAGAACTGATGTTTTTGGACAAGACCAAAGTTAAGAAGTAGATGGACAACCAGAACCTTCCACTGGAGTCTACAGCTGGTGAATGCTATGAAGTAGATGGACAACCAGAACCTTCTACTGGAGTCTACAGCTGGTAAATGCTATGAAGAAGATGGACAACCAGAACCTTCCACTGGAGTCTACAGCTGGTGAATGCTATGAAGAAGATGGACAACCAGAACCTTCTACTGGAGTCTACAGCTGGTGAATGCTATGAAGTAGATGGACAACCAGAACCTTCTACTGGAGTCTACAGCTGGTGAATGCTATGAAGTAGATGGACAACCAGAACCTTCTACTGAAGTCTACAGCTGGTGAATGCTATGAAGAAGATGGACAACCAGAACCTTCCACTGGAGTCTACAGCTGGTGAATGCTATGAGGAAGATGGACAACCAGAACCTTCCACTGGAGTCTACAGCTGGTGAATGCTATGAAGAAGATGGACAACCAGAACCTTCCACTGGAGTCTACAGCTGGTGAATGCTATGAAGTAGATGGACAACCAGAACTTTCCACTGGAGTCTACAGCTGGTGAATGCTATGAAGAAGATGGACAACCAGAACCTTCTACTGGAGTCTACAGCTGGTGAATGCTATGAAGTAGATGGACAACCAGAACTTTCCACTGGAGTCTACAGCTGGTGAATGCTATGAAGTAGATGGACAACCAGAACCTTCTACTGGAGTTTACAGCTGGTGAATGCTATGAAGAAGATGGACAACCAGAACCTTCTACTGGAGTCTACAGCTGGTGAATGCTATGAAGTAGATGGACAACCAGAACTTTCCACTTGAGTCTACAGCTGGTGAATGCTATGAAGTAGATGGACAACCAGAACCTTCTACTGGAGTTTACAGCTGGTGAATGCTATGAAGTAGATGGACAACCAGAACCTTCCACTGGAGTCTACAGCTGGTGAATGCTATGAAGTAGACGGACAACCAGAACCTTCCACTGGAGTCTACAGCTGGTGAATGCTATGAAGTAGATGGACAACCAGAACCTTCTACTGGAGTTTACAGCTGGTGAATGCTATGAAGTAGATGGACAACCAGAACCTTCCACTGGAGTCTACAGCTGGTGAATGCTATGAAGAAGATGGACAACCAGAACCTTCCACTGGAGTCTACAGCTGGTGAATGCTATGAAGAAGATGGAATAAGGATAGCTGAACCAGTTATGCATAGATACTGTCTCCCCCCTCCCCCAATCACCTACCTTTTCCACTCTTGTGTGTTCCGGGGTCCTTGTTTGGGCAGGGAAAAAAAAAAGACCCACTGCCACTATTACAAGCATGTCTTAAAAGTACTAATCAGGATGGTTTCCTTGAAAGTCGGAGTGCATCTGCCTGAGAGGCGAGGAACCAACAGTGTGGTTACAAATAAGCCAGATCTGTAAAACTCAAGTTGTGGAACACAAGTAAAGTCCACAGCTGGACAAGCAACCATAATCCCCCCACAACCACCACCACCCCCCCTGGATTAACAGCCAGTGAACATGAAAAAGAAGAAGAAAAAGATACTGTATTTTATTTTTTCTTCTCCTCCTCCTTCTTCTTCTGCATCTGCCTATAAAAGTGCAGTTGCCTTGTTGGGTTATGGCCCACAGCCAGGATGATAAATCTGTACCCTTTGAAGTCATCCAGTCACATTTGACTTCACCAGACCCCTAAATAGTCATTTGTTAAGGGGCCTGTCCGTCCACCCCCCACCCAGCCCCTCCCCTCCACACCCTCAGATGGGACCCTGGAACTCACAGTACGAACTTTATTTTTATAACTCTTGCAGTCACAAATAACATGTGATGCATGGCTGGCTTTTTGTGTGTGAACCTCAAACATGGTGCAATGTGTAATCTAATGTTTTACTTATCTGGTCTTGTCTATAGTACGTTCAACTGTGTTTCTTTGAAAGTTTGAAGCTGGTTTGGCTTTTTCCTGTGAACCTCACCCATAGTGCAATGTGATAACTAATGTTTTACTTGTCATCAGAGTATGCTAAAGAAATCTGGCCTTGTCTGGAGTGCCTTCAACTGTGTTTCTTTCAAAGTTTGAAGCTGGTGATTTTGTTGTTTCAATATTTCAATTCTCATGTTATTCAACACTGCCAGGATTACTGGTTCACATGATCAACCCATCTACCAGAACCCACCTGCTGTTGTTCTGACCCGTGCAGACTCTCTGAGTTCCTTGTCATCATGGTCAACAGTGTCAAGCGAGGCTGCCCTCCTGCACCAAGCTGAACTCATTCAACAGCAGCAGCAACAGAAGCAGCAATCTCTCCACATTAGCAGAGCTGCTACCAAGGTAACGGTTTCTTCATTCAAGTTCACAATATTAACTCAGGTGCTATCTCTGTGGCACATGAGAGTTGGCTGCAATGGGTCACTAACAATCTCTGTCCTTTGCCCTGTTTTATTAGCTTCTCAGATTAATCTTTGTCCAGCCCTTTGATGTTATCCTCCCTCTTGTATTATTGTCTACCTTTTGCTTTCCTGCCTTGAACTTTTCTATCCATTATTCTATTGAGGCTGAGTGAGACACAATACTATCACACAGACTGTGGAAGCAACACTTTGTGTCAGATAAATTAAGACCCCTTTTGCATTCTGGGACCACAATTTAGGAGGGATAAAAAGAATATACCCCCCCCCCCCATAACAAATATGTTGTAGAAAGTAGTTAAGGGTTAGCTGAAATTGAATGTGTAAGGATGAAAGGTGCAGATAACACAGAAGAAAAAGAAGAAGAAGAAGAAGAAGAAGAAAAGAAGAAGAAAAAAAAATAATAATAAGAAGAAGAAGAAGAAGAAGAACAAGAAGAAGAGGAAGAAGAAGGAGGAGGAGGAGAAGAAGAAGAAGAAGAAGAAGAAGAAGAAGAAGAAGAAGAAGAAGAAGAAGAAGAAGAAGAAGAAGAAGAAGAAGAAGAAAAAGAAGAAGAAGGAGAAGGAGGAGAAGGAGGAGGAGAAAGAAGAGGAGAGGAAGAGCTACACTGGAAACAAAATATGAAATGATCTGGGCATCCATTTAGAATACAGCAACACCTGTTAACACAAGTACTATACCTAATTTTTGAAAAAAGGTGACACAAGAGCATGACAGATCTGAGGAGAACGTGGTTTGTACATTCTTTCAGAGCTGAGGATAGTCAGTGTCAGGCATCAGGTGCTGGAGTACCAATTATTCTTCCCAAAGAGGTTTTAGTGCACAAGTGGAAGATGATGATGCCAGTGATTATCTTCAGTGATCAACAATTGCAATGTCTATTCCAATGTGGATCATTAGCAACTGAGAACAATTGAGGTATTCATTGGCCTTCCACAGTGTCTCTTGGGCGTTTGTTCTTGTGAGTCAGATTTTCCCATGCTATTGAGACTTTTGAACTTAAATGTTACAGGAAAATTGACAACAGCTACCTGGATCAGGTAGGAGAGGAAATATGACTTATGGTACTGTGTAACATTTCAGTTCAGTTTCAGTTCAGTTCTAATTATGCTTAGTGGCACAGGAGGCTTCAGTGAGGACTTGCCATGCTTTCCTGTCCTGTGCAATCTTCAGTGCAGTTTTCCATGTCAAAGATGCCACTCTCAGGTCACTTTCCATAGTTCGTCTCCAAGTTGTTTTTAGGCGCCCCTTTTTTCTCTTTCCCTCTGGACTGTGTGTCATGGTTAAAGTAAATATAACTATTATGTATCTTCTTTTTCTTCTTCTTCTTCTTCACATTCGCCCACTGTAAATTCTGGTCTTTACTGCAGCCTAGAGAAAACATAGGTCAAAATAAAATCCTATATGTAAATCATGTCTTTTGCTTCATCTTTGCCTCCACTGCTGCCCCATCTTTACTCATTGCTCCTAAGTGCACCCAATTGGTTAGTTGCGTATCCTTTACAGGACATTGCAGAACCAACCCTAACCGCCCCTGGCTGCTGCGTGGTTTTTCTAGGCAAATTTACATCCAGTAGTTTGCCATTGCTTTCTGGACGGTCAGCTTTCTTGATGCCACTGTCGAAACTAACGTAAGGTGCATGGCCCGCAAGTGCACCCAATACATCCCCGATAATACTAACACCAGAATGTAACAGTTTTGGAGACAGACAAATGAATTGTTTCTGCCACATATGTCTATGTAGTTTCAAGGAAGATAATAACGAATTAAAATTTCAAAGAAATTATCTTTCTAAGGGAAGTAATAGTAAAACAATTAAATAACTCCAGCGAAAGTTTACTTTTACTGATTGTCACAATTCATACAGAAATGCACACTAACTTAGGCTGCAAATGTGACTGTTAAAAAAACATTGTAGACATCAGGCAAAAGGCAATTTAACCCATGTATTGGTCACGGTTTGGGAGTAGTTAACACTTCATTTATAATAAACACGCAAAATACAGAAGGGGTTTGTGATTTATAATACAGATTCAGTGTCACAAGCATCTCTATAACTATGTTATAATGTGATAAGTGTCTGGCGTTACTCTGGTTTCTGAGTAAAACCTTTACGTCCTTTTTAGGATGAAATTTTTCTTTATTTGAAGCCCTACTCTGGCTTTTGCCAGGGGCCGCAATATAGGCAGGCCATAAATATGGCCAATTGTCTGAACGCGGTTTCTGGGACCTCTCCACGGCGATCCTCATCCACATGGTGGCACTTTGTGTCATCGGGTGATTATCGCTTGTGTGATGTCCTAGTGGGGTAGAAAGTCAGTCAGCCGTCAGTCATAAGTGTCTGGGAAAACTTTGTTATGTTATTACAGTCAACATCACTGAACATTGGGCATTTCTCAGTACTCCAATACAGCAGCCTTTCTAAGGTGCCTCCATTAGTTATAAGATCTCCTGTCTTGATCTCGAAGACGGTACTTACCAGGCTTTACTCCTAGGTCATGTAATCAGGTTAGCATCATAGACTCCTCATCATCCACCAGCTCTAGCCCTACAGCATTGATTATATCAGCTTTTCCCAGCAATTATGTGAAATTATAAGATAATGTTCCCCAGTGTGGGTTACATAGACCCAATGAAGGGAAAACAAGAATAGACCCCCCCCCCCCCACCCGCCCCCACCAGCAAGCATGTCATAGGAGTCGACTAATTGCTGGTATTCTTTGAAAACAGACTACATCTGCCTAAGAGGCAAGGGACCAAGAGTCTGCATACAAATAAACAAGATGTGTGAAATGGATGTGCACACAGCACTCAGGATCTGCAACAAGACTAAAGTCCAGGGGTGGACCAACACCCAGAACTTTCCGCCAGAGTTTACAGCTGGTGAACACGAAGAAGAAAATATGATAACGTATCTTACTGCCATTTCTGCCTCTATGTACCACTTTTGCAAAGCATTGGAACCCACAGGGATATAGGAATAAAGGAAGGCCAAAAAACACATGGAGAAGGAAGCTGGAGAATGAAGTTAGAAAGATGTGGAGGATATGGGGAGAGTTGCATGCTATAGCAAAGGATAGAACGACTTGGTGTGAGTTGGTTGAGGACCTGTGCTCCATTGGGGGCTAGAAAGCTAGAAGAGAAAAGAGAAATACCAATTTTGCAGTGTAGGCAGGGAGGATCTTTGAGCCTCCGAATTTTAGGTTATCTTACGACAGAAAATAGTCTCCAACCTTACCTAGGTTTTGAACTAAGGTCACCCGCGTGAGAGCCTGACGTTCTTTACAATTTAGCCAGTTGCTCCTTGAAGAAAATGTACAACATAATTAAAGTTAATGGGGACCTGCATATGTGAAACTTTTCTAATGATGTTAAGCTGACATTTTTTAGGTCGTAGAGCAGCCTGTGTTAGAAATGGCTACCGCGGAGATGAAACATTACTCCACCACATCATCCGCTCAACTTGCAGACGTCAACACAAGAGTCGATCAGAGAGTAGATCATGCAGAGCCACATCAGTCTTTTAAAAGAAATGTGAAACAAAATTTTGTGACTGAGGTATGGTCCTTTCTTCCTTTCTTTTTTTCTTTCTTTCTTTCTTTCTTTCTTTCTTTCTTTCTTTCTTTCTTTCTTTCTTTCTTTCTTTCTTTCTTTCTTTCTTTCTTTCTTTCTTTCTTTCTTTCTTTCTTTCTTTCTTTCTTTCTTTCTTTTCTTTCTTTCTTTTGCTTTGTTTTCTTTCTTTCTTTCTTTCTTTTTCTTTCTTTCTTTCTTTCTTTCTTTCTTTCTTTCTTTCTTTCTTTCTTTCTTTCTTTCTTTCTTTCTTTCTTTCTTTTTTTCTTTTTTTCTTTCCTTCTTTCTCTCTTTTTTTCTTTGTCACTGCTTTTTACTTTCTGATTTGTAATTTCACTGATTGACAACATACTAAAATGTTTTCACCTCCAGGTTCTCATTCTGTAGAATTAACACCATAAGGACGAGAATCAGACAAGTAGAAATACCAGCAATCCTGTTCAGATATATAGTCATACAGCACAGTTACACTCTGGCATCACAAAACTGTTATGAAGTAATCAGTAGTCCAGCGGGGTTGAAAGTGTGTGACCAGGAAACTAACCCAGTCAACATGAAATACATGAAAAAGTCAGATGTGTTGACGGATGGACACCAATATCACATTTCTGCTGTAAACAGGCATAGTGCTGTGATGTCTGTTAAAACCATCAGAAGACGAAGAAGAATGATGATGATGTTGAACCCCACTGGGACATCTCACCAAGTGATAAACACTCCCAGGACATCACACCAAGTGATGAACACTCCCAGGACATCACACCAAGTGATAAACACTCCCAGGACATCACACCAAGTGATAAACACTCCCGGTACATCACACCAAGTGATAAACACTCCCAGGACATCACACCAAGTGATAAACACTCCCAGGACATCACACCAAGTGATAAACACTCCTGGGACATCACACCAAGTGATAAATACTCCCGGGACATCACACCAAGTGATAAACACTCCTGGGACATCACACCAAGTGATAAATACTCCCAGGACATCACACCAAGTGATAAACACTCCCAGGACATCACACCAAGTGATAAATACTCCCAGGACATCACACCAAGTGATAAACACTCCTGGGACATCACACCAAGTGATAAATACTCCCGGGACATCACACCAAGTGATAAACACTCACGGGACATCACACCAAGTGATAAATACTCTGTGACACAAAGTGGCACCATTTGGATGATGGTCAGCTGGAGACAGTCCTAAAAGCCCTGTTCATCCGATAGGTTGGGTTACATTAGGGCCCCCGGCAACAGCAGAGGTGGGGCTTTAATGCAACAACAAAATTGTGTCCAACGTTGGGACATTATGATAACACCAAGAAAAAGAATCTTTTCAGGCTCAAGTTAAATTCACCATGTTTGGAAGCTCCTGGTACCAAAAATTAACATATTTACGTTATTACAGTTTCAAATAAAGTGATAGAAAGTAAAAGACCCTTTTGCACACCTTCAGGCATATTGGGCACATAGGGCTAGACCTATATTTGATAGACCAGTCAGCACTCGGTGGGTGATGTGGTCACCATCACACCAGCCGCCTTTACTTCTCAGGACTTCACCTGGTACCCATTTAAGTCTGGGTCAATCTGGGAGCCAGATCTTTATTTTTTTTTAAAGTCCAGCTTCGTCCAGATTTAAGCCCATGACTTTCAGATCTGCAGGTCCCCCGTGTGGGTTCCGGGGCCCCATTGTGGGGAAAACAAGAATAGACCCACTGCCTCCCCAAAAGCATGTCATAAGAGTCGACTAATTGGGGAGCTTCCTTTGAAGACGGAGTGCATCTGCCGGAGAGGCAAGGAACCAACAGTCTGTATTCAAGAGAATGAGATCTGTAAAACTGATGCACACGCAACACTCAGGTTCTGGAGCAGGACTGCAGTTCAGTAGTGGACGAGCAACCAGAACTTTCCGCCAGAGTGTACAGCTAGTGAACGCAAAGAAGAAAGAAGAAGAAGATCTGCAGGCAAGTGTCTAGTCACTACACATGGTGGCACTGAATTGTTAGCAATTTAGAGTAATTTAAATTTGACCTAACTTACACCTTGTGTGTGTGTGTATATATATATATATATATATATATATATATATATATATATATATATATATAAACAATTTATACATAAATACATATGCCAGGACCAGAAACAATACTCAACCAGGACCAGAAAAAGTATTTAACCAGGACCAGAAACAGTACTCAACCATGACCAGAAACAGTACCCAACCATGACCAGAAACAGTACTCAACTATGACCAGAAACAGTACTCAACTATGACCAGAAACAGTACCCAACCATGACCAGAAACAGTACTCAACTATGACCAGAAACAGTACTCAACCTGGACCAGAAACAGTACCTAACCAGGACCATAAACAGTATTCAACCATGACCAGAAACAGTACTTAACCATGACCAGAAACAGTACTTAACCATGACCAGAAACAGTTTTCAACCATGACCAGAAACAGTACTTAACCAGGACCAGAAACAGTATTCAACCATGACCAGAAACAGTGCTCAACCAGGGCCAGAAACAGTACTCAACCATGACCAGAAACAGTACTTAACCAGGACCAGAAACAGTATTCAACTATGACCAGAAACAGTGCTCATCCAGGGCCAGATACAGTACTTAACCAGAACCAGAAACAGTATTCAACCATGACCAGAAACAGTACTCAACCAGGACCACAAACAGTACTTAACCATGACTAGAAACAGTACTCAAACAGAACCAGAAAAAGTACTTAACCATGACCAGAAACAGTACTTAATCAGAACCAGAAACAGTACTCAACCAGGACCACAAACAGTACTTAACCATGACTAGAAACAGTACTCAAACAAAACTGGAAACAGTACTCAACCAGGACCAGAAAAAGTACTTAACCAGGACCAGAAACAGTACTTAACCAGGACCAGAAACAGTACTCAACCATGACCAGAAACATGCTTAACCATGACCAGAAACAGTTCTTAACCATGACCAGAAACAGTACTCAACCATGACCAGAAACAGTGCTCAACCATGACCAGAAACAGTAAACCATGACCAGAAACAGTAAACCATGACCAGAAACAGTAAACCATGACCAGAAACAGTACTCAACCATGACCAGAAACAGTACTCAACCATAACCAGAAACAGTGCTCAACCATGACCAGAAACAGTACTCAACCATGACCAGAAACAGTGCTTAACCATGACCAGAAACAGTAAACCATGACCAGAAACAGTACTCAACCATGACCAGAAACAGTACTCAACCATGACCAGAAACAGTGCTTAACCATGACCAGAAACAGTAAACCATGACCAGAAACAGTAAACCATGACCAGAAATAGTAAACCATGACAAGAAACAGTTAACCATGACCAGAAACAGTAAACCATGACCAGAAACAGTGCTCAACCATGACCAGAAACAGTGCTCAACCAGGACCAGAAACAGTACTCAACCAGTAACAGTCTTATTTTATATCTGTCTCACATTTCCCATTAGCACTGAGCATCAGTTAGATCCATTAATTTGTCCTTGCAGCCCCATTCTCCTCAGATCATGATGGTCAGTTTGGTCCTCTGCATTGTTCCCTCACTCCCAAAAGACCCTTATATCATCCAGCTTAGAAAGCATCAATTCACCACCAAAAAGTGCCCACCCAGCCAGTCAGTCTTGCTGTTCATTTTCCAACACACCAGCATTACCTTCAGAAAATATTCACTTTATTTTGTATGCTATTATGCATGTTATTGCCATATAGATAATCTGTTGTACATTCAGGTTTCAGCAACCTATAGAACGCCTGACTTTGACTCCTCCAGAGAGGCTGCAGACGTGAATGAGACATCTGTTCCATCACTGAAAGAAGCCTTGGCTGACAGCCTTCAGCGGATCAAACTTCTGGAGGAACAAATCAAGACCATTCCCATTTTGCAGGTTTGTATGTTACAGTAAAAGTACCCTTTTACACGCCTTTAAGCTATTGGGCATATAGGGCTAGACCAATAGACCAATCTGCACTCAGTAGGCGATGTCATCAGCATCACACCAGCTGCCTTTACTTCCCAGAACTTTACCTGGTACCTACTGAAGACTGGGTCGATCTGGGAACCAGGGTCATTTTTGAAAAAATCAGGCTCCATTCACATTCAAACTCACACCTTCAGTTTTGCAGGTGAGCATCTAGCCACTACACCATGGTGGCTCCCTTGTATTTTAAGAAAGAATCATCATTGTTCTAGATAGTTGAAAGACAACCTGGTTACATATTATACCTACTCTAATGAAGATCTAACTAGATCAGAAAGAAAGAAACATACTGTATATTACCTTAATCTACTCTAAGATCTGTAAATCTCAGAAAGAAAGAAACATACTGTATATTACCTTAATCTACTCTAAGATCTGTAAATCTCAGAAAGAAAGAAACATACTGTATATTACCTTAATCTACTCTAAGATCTGTAAATCTCAGAAGGAAAGAAGCATACTGTATATTACCTTAATCTACTCTAAGATCTGTAAATCTCAGAAGGAAAGAAACATACTGTATGTTACCTTAATCTACTCTAAGATCTGTAAATCTCAGAAGGAAAGAAACATACTGTATGTTACCTTAATCTACTCTAAGATCTGTAAATCTCAGAAAGAAAGAAACATACTGTATATTACCTTAATCTACTCTAAGATCTGTAAATCTCAGAAAGAAAGAAACATACTGTATATTACCTTAATCTACTCTAAGATCTGTAAATCTCAGAAAGAAAGAAACATACTGTATATTACCTTAATCTACTCTAAGATCTGTAAATCTCAGAAGGAAAGAAGCATACTGTATATTACCTTAATCTACTCTAAGATCTGTAAATCTCAGAAAGAAAGAAACATACTGTATATTACCTTAATCTACTCTAAGATCTGTAAATCTCAGAAAGAAAGAAACATACTGTATATTACCTTAATCTACTCTAAGATCTGTAAATCTCAGAAAGAAAGAAACATACTGTATATTACCTTAATCTTCTCTAAGATTTGTAAATCTCAGAAAGAAAGAAACATACTGTATATTACCTTAATCTACTCTAAGATCTGTAAATCTCAGAAAGAAAGAAACATACTGTATATTACCTTAATCTACTCTAAGATCTGTAAATCTCAGAAGGAAAGAAGCATACTGTATATTACCTTAATCTACTCTAAGATCTGTAAATCTCAGAAGGAAAGAAGCATACTGTATATTACCTTAATCTACTCTAAGATCTGTAAATCTCAGAAGGAAAGAAGCATACTGTATATTACCTTAATCTACTCTAAGATCTGTAAATCTCAGAAGGAAAGAAGCATGCTGTGTGTAACCTTAACCAACTCTAACTAGGACCTATATAGATCAGAAAGAAAGAAACATACTGTATGTAACCTTAACCCATTATGTTGTTGTTGTTGTTGTTGTTATCGATCCAGCGGCGCATGAGCTTTCGCCCTTTGGCCCAATGCCATGTAGTGGAATTTGCATGTTTTCACAAGCTGTTCTTTTCCTCCGTACAAGGTGTTCCACTTGTCTGGTCTCGGAGGGAGTAGCGTTCTTCTTGTCTCACTGAGTTTTGGGCACTCAAAGAGATGGTGTTCAACAGTTTCGTAGGGGTAGTTACATAGCTGGAACTCTGGGGAGTGTTGTGGCTGTATTCTGTTTAGGTGTCCATTGAGTGGAGTATGTTGCGTTCTAAGTCTGAAGATGGTGGCCTGGTCCCTTCTTGTTAAATGGTTAATGCTGTCATTAGGATCAGGGCCAGACATATGTCTATAAACCTCTCTTCCAGTGTCTCCCATGGCCCATCTGTTCAACCAAGTCTCTTTGTTTATAGCTCTTATCAGTGTTTTTGCTGTCTGGAGGGTTGTCGCTGTAGGTGGTTGTTCTTGTGTTGCTCCTTTCTTTGCCAATCTGTCAGCTCTGTCATTACATGGTGTGCCGGAGTGACCTGGAATCCACTGCATCACTATTCTGATGTTGTATGAGGTAATAAGCTGATCAGCATCCAGGATTATCTTGGCTATGTCAGTTCTGCAGCGTTCACTGCCCTCCAGAGCTTGAAGGGCAGACATTGAATCTGTGAAGATGACAATATTTTGGACCTTTTAAGGGTAAAGATCCATTACAGTCTTTAGGTGGTATACTGCTGTTTCCAGTGCAATTATTTTAGCTTCATAGTTTGAACAGAATTCCCCGCATGCATCAAAAATCTTTTCAACAGATCCATCGGGATAACCTATGTAGATTCCGTAACCTGCTTTAATGGTAGCTTTAAATGCTGATCCATCAGTATAGACATGTATCCATTCTTGGGGGTAAGAATCAACGGTCTTTAGTGATGAGTTCATAAGAGCGATTGGGTCGGACTGTTTGGTTTCCTCGCCTACCAATTTAGTTCAGACTTCTGGAGCTTTAAAGCGAGCATGTGGTGGTAGGTTTCTTGCAACATTCTGAATTCCTTGACGTCTTTCTGGGAGGTGGTATCTGTCCTGAATTTCATTAACACAGTGTAAAACCGATTTGTGCTTTATTCTTTGTTTGTATTCCCAGTTTTCTACAAGATGTCTATTAGGATGGTTACGATTTTTCCTAACGCATCTTTCATAAATTTCTAAAGTGGCTTTTTCTCTCCGCAACCCGAGGGGTTCCACATTTGTATGGATTTCACATGCAGCAGTTGGTGTAGACTGCATAGCTCCGCAGATTAATCGGAGGGCATTATTTTGTACTCTGTCAAGAGTCTCTAGGTTAGTTTTGGAGCAAGTTGTAAGCAGTCAGTTGTTGTACTCTATCACAGAGCGAACATATCCTAGATATAAGCCCCTCAGAGTTTCCTTGTCTGATCCCCATGATGTACCTGCAAGTCTCTTTAATAACTGTAACCGCCTCAATGCCTTATTCCTGATGTTTTCAATATGGTTCTTGAGGCTGAGCTGCCGGTCAAGTGTGACTCCAAGGTATGTGGGATGCTCTTCTTTTATCACTTGGTGTTTGTCTAACCTCAGGTTAATATTCTTCCTTGCTACTTGGTGGCTTTTGGTAAAGATTGTGTAGACCGTCTTTGCACAGTTAACCTTGAGTTTCCATCTTTGGCAGTACTCATGCAGTCTTCTAAGGTCTCCATTCAGTCTTTGGGCTCCACTTTCCACATTTTCATGACTCTGCCATATTGCTAGGTCATCAGCGTACAAGGCTTTTTCGGCCTTGATTTGTTCTGGCAGGTCATTGATAAAGATTAGGAATAGTGTACAGCTCAATGATGAGCCTTGTGGCAAGCCCTCCTCCAAGACTTCTTTAGAAGAGATTGCGTTGTGCATCTTAGTCTGGATTGTTTTATCTATCAGGAAGTATTTCACCCAGTTATACAATCTGCCATGTATTCCTATGCTCATCATCTTCATTAGGAGACCTTTTCTCCATACTCTGTCATAGGCCTGCTGGAGGTCGACAAAGACTGCCACTGTGTTGTTTCTTATTCTGGAAGCCATCATGTATTCTTTGTGTCAGTCTGAACAGCTGGTCTTCTGTGCAGCTGTTGGTTCTGAAGCCTGCCTGTTCATGGTATAGAACACCAGAACTCTCAAGGAACCAATATAAGCGCCTGTTTATCATTCTTTCTGCAACTTTGCCCAAGCATGATGTTAAGGATATCGGGCGGTAGCTTTTGGGGTCATCTGGAGGTTTTTTGGTTTTAAGAATGGGGACGATATATGCATTCCTCCATGCCTTTGGAAGTTTGCTTGACCTCCAAGTTTTATTTATAAGCCTGAGAACTACTTCTCTCCCAGACCGGCCAAGATGTAGCAGCATTTCGTTGTGGATCTTATCTGGGCCTGGAGATTTTCTAGGTTTTAATTTCTTCAGGGCTTGCTCTAATTTATCCATGCTAAATTCATTTTCAAAAAGGGAGTCGCTGGCTGTTGGAGCTATCTCTTGTTTCTTCAACTGAGAGAGCTGTGTTCTATTGAGTTCTGACAGCTTACCTGCTCTGTTAACTGAGGCAAAATAATGATTGAAATGTTCTGCTTTCTTCTTGTCTTCAGTGATTGTCTTACTCCCATCTGTCACTGGTTTTGGGTTCACCCTTCTACTTTCTCCGGAGAGGTTTTTAACTAAAGTCCATGCTTTATTTCCATTCTGTCTAAGGTCTAAGTTGGAGCAAGTTTCTGTCCATTTATCTCTTTTAGCCTTATTAACTACAAGCTTTACTCTGGCACATGCTTTATTGTATTGGATCTTTGCTTCTGTTGAACGTGCAGTTTCAAGCAATATTCTTGCTTTATTCCTTTCAGATATAGTATTTTGAATTTCTTGATTCCAAAAAGGTTTATATGCCTTCCGGCTGCCCCTTGGGATGGCTTTCGACGCTGCATTCAGGATTGCTTGTGTTATGTCTTCACAAAAAGTTTCCACACAGCTGTTGTCAATTCTTCCCAGGAGGCAGTCAGATGTTTCCTGAAATAGTTTCCAGTTTGCTTTTCGGAAATTCCAACGGGTTCTCTGCTTGAAGCGTAATTTAGCGGTAGATAACCCATTATAATAATAAAGATCTATATATTTCAGAAAGACAGAAAGACTGTATGTAACCTTTTCCTACTCTAATAAATATCTGTATAGTTAAGAAAGATATAAACATTCTGTTCATAACCCTACCTACTTTAACGGTCTATGAATTTCAGAAAGAAAGAAACATATACATAACCTTAACCTACTCTAATAAAGATCTATATAGCTCAGAATGAAAGAAAATACTTTATCTAACCTTAACCAAATGTAAAACCTATAAAGCTGAGAAAGAAAGAAATATACTCTATGTAACTCTAACCAAGCATAATGAAAATCCAGGCAGACAAAGGAGAATCATCGCCACTGGTACGGTGACTGGCATGCTTGCCTCCTGCGCCTATGGTCCTGTGTTCAAAACTTGTCCGAGGCTGGGATTTTGTTGAAGCTGTGACCAGGCCTACAGTAGCTACCAGAAAATATTCTGGAAAATAAAGGTGACCAGCAAGACTACACTGCCCAACTTATGTTAGCTGATCAATAAATACTTGTAACTAGAACCATATACCCACTGTGTCTTGAGGCCGAGGACAAGGCCGGTTGGTTGACTTGACTTACATACCTAACTTCTTCATCTTGTGCCTGCTGGTGCATTGGAAAATTAACAGGCGAACTGATTGGTAGGCTGTGCATAATTTGGTGGAAAATTGATGCATGATAAGGTGGATGTGGTTAGGGCCTGGTGAGAGTACGTGTACAATTCGAAGGAGCAAATGGATAGCCACAGTCTGGTGAGATTGATGCAGCGAGGAGTGACAAGGGGTTCTGGCCGATACTCAACACTCGGAGAAAAGGCAAGATAGACGTCTAATCAGAATACTACTGGCTCCATTCGTATTTGAACTCTGTGCTGGTTGCTGAAGATAGGGACAGAGCACTTGTGAGAATGCCCCAAGTGCTGTGATGTCAATTCTTGAATCATCTTAATGCAACCCGTCTTCTGCCTTGGCTTTGAAATTACGGTTGGCATATTATATTGTGGCTTACAGGTTGGCTGCAGTATCTGTGGGTTTTGGCTCAACACATCCATTTCAGCAAACCCATACTTAGTAGCCTTTTATGACATGCTTGTAGTAGATCTATCATGTTTTTCTCAAAAGAAAGTAGACCCACACGGTAAGCATACCTAACAATTGTAAAACATTGCCAGAATGCAATTTATAAAAAAGGCCCTATGTCCAGTCTTTGTGAGCCAATTATGCTAACTCAAACAGTTTAACATATGACACTCGTTAGGTGATGTGGTCATTATAAAGCTGACCACTTTTACTTCCCATAATTTTTTTCTCCTCCTACTCATGCTGGCCTGGGAGTTTCCATCAGTTTAAAATTATCTTGTATTGGAGGTTTCAGCTCATGGCTATTGGGCCAGGAGTTGAGCATGCTAACTACTACACTTCGATACTTTCAGTTTTGGTAATGTCAGCAAAACATCGTAGCTTTATAAACTGTGAACTAATACATATATCAAATACACTGAATCACAGTTTCATATAGTGGAGTTTAATTCAGAAATGTGTTTCCTTCAGAACAGTAATAGAAAGATAAAAAATTATTTCTTGTATCTATTTCCAGGTTCGATTATCAGTTCTTAAAGAGGAGAAGCGACTCTTAAAACTTCAGCTGAAAGCCAGCAAATCTAGCACTGCACCACTTACCACCACTGTAGGAGTGGGAGATGACAGTATAGATTTTACAGAAGAAACAAATGAGACTGTGCCATCTTCTAGAATCTTCGGGTACTCTGCCCCTACAGTCATTGCCACTTCTACACCCAGAAAGGACCTCATGATGAAAAGTCCACCTCCAACATTACCTAAACCTGTGAAAAGCACATCAGTGGCTATTGGTAACCACAGTGTCCTTGAACCCTACAACCTTCAACCTGACCTCCCAACAGGTTACACAGTTCGAGAAAATGAATCAGCTTTTGAAATATGTTCTAAAACAATGATTGAAAAAGAAAGTTTAACTGTTAACAAAGGCCAAGGGCAACTGTTAAACTCATCAGCTCAACAGAAATCCACTTATAACATTCCCGACAAAGATAAATATGCATCTAACATTCTTCAGACAACACCTGGATCAAACGAAAGAAATGTAAAAGTTAATCAGACACACAAGAATTCCTCTGAGGTTGTGACAAGAACAATTGGTGTAGGAGATGCAAATGTTTTTGAAGATTCCAAGATGCAAGTTCATGAAAAGGAATTAAGAACAGTTATTTTTGGGCAAAATAAAGCTGTTGCAAAAAGAAATGTAGGTATTGAGTGTCGTGTCGCGACAAGAGATGTTGGAGTATTGTTTAAATGTGATGAAGAGAAACCGGCAACAAGAACTATTGGGGTTAATGTGAATTATGATACTAGTGGCATTTTTACATCATTAGACTTTAAAGGAGAAAGAGAGTTAAGGGTAGCACTGCAAGGAGTCTTGCATCGAAGTGTGCGGAGTGTGGGCACTACCTGCAGAATGACAGAAGCTACTGCGGAGCTTGCTACAATGACAGATGCCAATGTGGCTCTCTCTGTTGGTTGTGGTGATGAGGAGCAGAGGGTGGATGTGGAAATAAGGCCTGCTGTTGTGAGAAAATCTGTGGCAACCAGTTGCAAGCCTGATATTGGTCATAAGTATGTGAGCACGGATGCAGACTGGATTTTAGATGCCAGTACCAACACCTACCAGGTCGATTCATTTGATAAAGGACTGATGACTGATAAAGTCAAACAGGCTTTTGCTTCCACAAATACTCAACCAGTCTTTACTCATCAAGCTTCGATTCAGACTGACCAGAATGTCTTTGTTGGCTTGGATCAGATACGGCATGCTTCTAGTAACACTGACATTATAACAAGCCATTCCAGGGGAGTGTCGACTGACATCGTCACTACACATAATGCATTTGTCAATACGTCAGAGAAGGTCTCAGAGCTTTTTCAGGAAGCATTCAAAAAGGAAAGTGTTAATAATATAGTAAGTGAAGAGTATTTGCAAAGGAAAATGGATACTGATAGAAAAACTTTAGATCAAGTAAAAAAAGAAGCCGCACAGAATTTAGGAGAAGAAAAAGAGACAAAACAATCTGCTATTTCAAGAATGTCAGATCATGCAGTCCAGGAGAAAGTTACTCTTGAACATTCAGATCACGAAAGTTCATTTCTCGGAAAGTCTGAATATAGCAAGAAATCATCAAAATACGATTATGGCGACACTCATTATTCAAGCTTAGAAATTTCCAGTCGTTCTGCTCCAGGAAGTCAAAGTCATATCAGCAGTAAGACAAGCATGACTTCTGGCCAGGAAGATTTGAATAACAATGCTTCCAGTCTTAAAACAGTTGAACCTGGCAATACAGATGAAAGGTTCTCAGAAACTGTTGTAGAACATTTTATACTAACTAAAGATGGTAAAAAATTAATCTCAGAGGAAAAGATCACTACCTCTTCAGCAGGAACTAACCGAAGTTTTAAACAATTTACACATGGTGATGATTGCGCAATGGAAGCAGGTACTGGCAGCATTGAGACGCCAAATGGCCACAGCAGCGACATTTATGAAAGCCAAACTGGCAGCTGGAGCAAGACAAACTCTAGTAGTTATAATTCTGATAAGACAAATAGTTTCAATTTGACAGACAGTAGCAACATTAGTGTTGTCAGTGACCAGTATCAAGATGCAGACAAACGAGCCAATACTTCAAAAGTCTTAGATTCTCATACACTAACTAGAAACTCCCTCTCCAGTTTTCAATCTGAGAAAGGTGAACAAACAACCTTCTACCAGGAATCTGAACATAAAATCTCGACAAAACCAGACCCTGCCAGTGAAGTTATTTACAAGATGCGGCGAGCAGGCTCAGTTGAAGATTTCATGCCAAATGACATTCGAAAATATATGTCCTTAACCCCAACCGTGCCTCAAGACTCTGGGCTGGACAGGAACTTGATTCACATCTTATCCAGTGATTCAATAAATTCTACAAATTCTTCTGAAACAGTAGTCACTTCAGATGCAAATGAAAGAAAAACATCTAGGTCTGTCACCACAAAAAGGATTTCCAAATCTGGGGGTCTCAGTGCATTGCCAGAAATCAGTACATTCCAAGATCCCTACCTTCTGAGCAATTCTGAAGATAACAGGAAGGAAGTTGTCGAGGAGACTTTTGTTAAAAGTGAAGCCAGTTTTTGTGGTGACCAGTCAGAAGCATCAGTGCAGGCTAAAAAAGCAGCATCTTCATCAGCTACTGCTACAATAGACACGACCAGATTTTTAAAAGATAAAGGCCAGATATGGTTAACTCTTTCTTCCTGTGTAAAAGATGAGGGAAGTTTTGACAGTTTGGCTGCCAGTAACAGCGTGAGTACCATGGAGGTGATCAAGGTGGCAGCTAGTGAGAGCAGGGAGCTAACAAAGAGCATTCATACAAGTGAATCTTCCAAGAGGAAACCAGTGCTGAAATCCATCATGAAACACTCCCCAGAAACCCAGTGTGCCAGCACGAAGAAGGCAATCACTTTTGCTGAGTCTGTCACAGGAGGGTCAGTTTAATGTGGTGGCACTGCTTGTTGTTATTTCTCTTATAAAATTCTGATGTATATTTTTGTTTAGTCTTTTCTCTCTTTTATGTTTTAGCCAATCTGTTTACTTATCTCCTTCATGTTTTAGCCAATCTGTTCTTTTATCTTCTTCATGTTTTAGCCATTCTGTTCTCTTATCTCCTTCATGTTTTAGCCAGTCTGTTGCACTTATCTCCTTAATGTTTTAGCCAATCTGTTCTTTTATCTCCTTCATGTTTTAGCTAGTCTGTTCACTTATCTCCTTCATGTTTTAGCTAGTCTGTTCTCTTATCTCCTTCATGTTTTAGCCAGTCTGTTCTCTTATCTCCTTCATGTTTTAGCCAGCCTGTTCGCTTATCTCCTTCATGTTTTAGCCAGTCTGTTCTCTTATCTCCTTCATGTTTTAGCCAGTCTGTTCGCTTATCTCCCTCATGTTTTAGCCAGTCTGTTCGCTTATCTCCTTCATGTTTTAGCCAGTCTGTTCTCTTATCTCCTTCATGTTTTAGCCAGTCTGTTCTCTTATCTCCTTCATGTTTTAGCCAGTCTGTTCGCTTATCTCCTTCATGTTTTAGCCAGTCTGTTCGCTTATATCCTTTATGTTTTAGCCAGTCTGTTCTCTTATCTCCTTCATGTTTTAGCTAGTCTGTTCTCTTATCTCCTTCATGTTTTAGCCAGTCTGTTCTCTTATCTCCTTCATGTTTTAGCCAGTCTGTTCGCTTATCTCCTTCATGTTTTAGCCAGTCTGTTCGCTTATCTCCTTCATGTTTTAGCCAGTCTGTTCTCTTATCTCCTTCATGTTTTAGCTAGTCTGTTCTCTTATCTCCTTCATGTTTTAGCTAGTCTGTTCTCTTATCTCCTTCATGTTTTAGCCAGTCTGTTCGCTTATCTCCTTCATGTTTTAGCCAGTCTGTTCTCTTATCTCCTTCATGTTTTAGCCAGTCTGTTCGCTTATCTCCTTCATGTTTTTGCCAGTCTGTTCGCTTATCTCCTTCATGTTTTGTTATTGTGACATTCCTGTCTCCTTGTAAATAGGTCCCTTTTCCACGTCTTAAGGTGTACTGGGCATATAGGGCTAGACCTATATTTTATAGATCAACTGGCACTCTGTGGGTGATGTGGTCAACATCACGCCAGCGGCCTTTACTTTCCAGGACTTTATCTGGTACACATTTAAGTCTGGGTTGACCTGGGAGTCAAGGTAATTTGTTTTTAAAGCCTGGCTCTGCTTGGATTTGAACTCACGGCCTTTAGAGAATCAGGCGAGCATCTAATTTTAATTCAACTTTTAACATTGTTGGTAAAAAATACTGAATTGAATAGTGCTCCTTTTGTGTCAGTTGTTATGTATTTTGGTATTGATTTTAATTTCTGTTGACCTCCACAAATTCCCTAGTGCTATGAAAGTTTCTCTTGCATTTTGTATTGTTATTTTAATATCTCTATCATTTCCCCCATCTTTATCTACATTACTGGCCAAAAAGGTGTACGACTCCACGTCTTGGAGTGGGGCACCATTAAGAGAAACCACATTATTATTTGCCTGATTTATTCTTATTATCTTTGTTTTTCCCATAGGGATTTTTAGACCTAGCTGTTGTGATCTCACATCAAGTATTCTTAAAATATCTTGCATCTGATCCTGTGAGTGGAACAGAAAAGAAATATCAGTAGTGAAGTCCAGATCATCAGGCTGTTTTGTAGAGAAAACTTTACCTGTAAAAACGTGTAATATTCATGGCATTGTGAAGCTGGGGTGTCTGTGGATTACCTACCTCCCCGGGCAGCAGCTAGAAATGCCCTGTACCAGTTCTAAAGGAAATATGGGTTGTGTTTCTGCCTTTCCCTTAAACACGTAGCTAAGGTGGGGCTCACAATGTGCTCATTCCCTGCCACCAGATTGCCTGCAGGTTTCGCTGAGCTCTTATGGCTCTAAGCATGGCCTAAGCATGAGTAGTTAGGGCAACTGGATCGTCATGTCCTGAGTCCCCGTGCCTTTATGATAGTTTTCGGTATTCAGGGGGTTTGGCATACTTGTTTTCACTCCTAAGACTGTTCAGCACACCTTCATAGCGTCCATTGCGGTGTGAGCCTCTTGACCTAGCAAAACCTCTCTTACCCGAAGACCATTGTGCGTGGCGAGGAGTCAAAGCCTCCCCGAGGTAGTCCTGGTAACTGGGGGTGCGAATGCCCATGCAAAACACAATAGATCTAGAGGAGCAAACCTCGATAATAAACCTGGTGCACCACACCGTACTGCCCCTGTGGGAGGGAAGAAGTCGGAGGTAAAAACGTTTAATAAGACTTTAACTTTGTAACCACAGGACAGGGTCAAGTTCTGAAGAGGATAACAATTCCTCGGATGCCGATTCAACGGACAGTTTTGATGAAGGTTCCTACAATGGCCAGGAGGTTGAGGTGAAATATTACAGCAAAGAGGAAGGATTTCTGGGTGAGGACTCGCCTGGAGTTCATGTATTAGATCAGAATATCCGTGAAATGTAAGTATGTATATGTACTGAACATCATCCTCATTGTCCATTGCTGTTTATATGTCAAATAAATCTCACACACTGCTTCTCCAGAATGTTTTGTTATCACAATCAATGTTATTGCACATTGGGCAATCCCATGCATGCTCAGTCCTCGTATGGAGCAGCCAATCCTAGGTACTTCTACTAATTGTTCCCATGGTTATAATGTGTCCTATCTCTGCCTCAAAGTTGACATAAACGTGCTTCACCGTGCTTTACTCACATGTCATGCAACTGTGTTAGTGTCATTATCCACCAGCACAGACCATACAGCACTGTTTATATCTGCTCTGTTCATGCTTCTTGCTGTATGCATTGGTAAATTGCTTGCCAGTTGGCCCGCTCACTGTAGTGAATAGTGATTTTCACTGTTCAGCCGAATACAAATAGTGGGACCAACTATTCGGCCGAATACGAATACGAATAGTGTATCATCATCATCAGGTGCCTTGCCGACTGGCGTAGGCGATTGTGCTCGCCACTATCTGCGATCTACTGCAGCGTGTATTAGTTTGTGTGCTGACACACCTCCATGCCGTGCAGGAAGACTGTCAAGAATCATCTCTCGTTGTCTTCCTCTATCCCTCCTTCCACAGATCTTTCCAGTGGTCACCACATGTTCCATTTTCTCCCTTCTCATAACATGGCCGAAAAATGATGACTGTCTCCTTCTGTAATTAGTTGTCCCGCCACTTTCAAAACCTCTTGGTTGCTTTTTTGGGCTGTCCAAGGTATTTTCAGCATTGTTCTGTAAAACCACATCTCCGAGGCCTCAAGAAATTGTTTGGCCTGCCTACCAATTGTCCAGGACTCACAGCCATATGTTAAAACTTGATGTATATAGCAAGCAAGAATTCTTTTTCTAACTCTCAATGACAAGGATATATTGCACAAGGTGTTCTTCATTTTATAAAATGCAGTTTTTGCCTGTCCTATTCTGTTTCTTTTTTCAGTAATGCATCTTCCATCTGATGTTATCCGTGTGCCCAGATACTTACATTTCTGTACTTGTCCAAAAATAAAACCATTGACTTTCATTACACATTTAGTAATAATTCTTTTCTTTGATACCACCATTACTTCTATCTTCCCACTATTCAAACTGAGGCCCATTCTTCCACTTTCAAAAAGTTTATAGTGTATAAAATAGATGTTAAAAAAAACACATTCATAATGTCAAATGTAAGCTGAAATTTTACTTCACAAAATGTAGTACAGAATAGTAAACAAAAACATTTTATGTTTTGTATTCTTCAGTCAGTCAGTCTGTGGTAACTAATACCTAGGAATGAAAGTATTCTTAGTTTTATAACAAGTAACTACTAAACTTGTAAATTGTCACTGACAGCTTAGTTAATGAATGAAAGCTGAATTAGCTTTCAACAAAACTAATTGTTCCGTGTTGTCAGCATTAAGGCAGCTTCTTGTCTCACTGAAGGTATTTCCAGCTGTACTAAATAAACTTTTACTTGGTACGCTCGTAGGTGGTGCACAAAGATAACACTTGACAGTATGAACCAAGGTGGGAAATCTTGACATGTTTATTTTAAACCATTTCAGTGGGCCAGTTTCTCTTGGGATACACGGCTCTGACAGGTAGTTATTCACTTCTGTTTCAATGGTAATTTGAATGTCGCTATTCTGTACCTTCTGTACCTATTGTGTTAATGAGAGAGTTATTTCAGTCCATCGCGGTGTATGCAGAAACGGGTGTAAGGTAACCACTATTCATATTCGGGCCGACCGCAACTATTCGGCGAAATACTGAATAGTTATTATGTCCACTATTCGTCCCCGAAGCGAATACAAAGCGAATATTCGGTACAGCCCTACTTATTACCCTTCACGCCCACATGACCAGGAGTGTAGATGAGGGAGGTTAAGTGCAATTTTTGAATGCTTTCTAACCATTCAGAATGTCTTCTGTTCTGTGCAATCTTTCCACTATCATGAAGGAAATACAGTTCAGCTTCTTTGACCTTGGGAACCACCATAGCCTAGTCACTAGACTGTTGGCTCAAGTGTCTTGAGTTTAAGTCTGCATCAGAGCAGATTTTTCTTCTAAAATTGACCTTAGCTCCTAAGAGGACCAAGCCTAAAAGGGGTTACTCATATCACTTTCAAAATGCTAGGTGGCCTGCGGTCAGACCACCCACAGCTGAATCGAATGATGGGACTTTTGTTCACCATCTGGCTTATGGGGCCCCAGTTTTGGGGGAAAAGGGATAGAACCCCTGCCCTTCAACAAGTCTATCAGAGAAGATGACTAATTAAAGATTTAATGAAATCAGATGTGTTGGGCCGAGGGGCGCAGATATTACTGTCTAGCTGTAAACCATACATATAGTGTAGTTGAGGAAAATATACACAGAAACATCCAAACTTTCTGACTAAAATCTAAATCTGTGTAACGAACAAAAGAGCAGGAGTACTATAGTACAGTAATAAAAACAAAATAGTCATAAACTCATCAGGAGGGATAAAATCATGACAAACAACAGTGAAACAATAAAAGAATGATTTCCTGAAACTGAAATGTACAAAAATGGAATTGGAAAACAAATGAAACAAACATATATACACATAGCTATGTCTATAATAGATTTAACTCTTTGAGTCCCAGAGTGTTTAGCATTACAGGCCCAAGGCGTTGTAAAAATGGATATAAAATCGGCGCATCATACATTCACTGGGCATCTATGTAGGAACCTGTTAACGTATGATGCGTTTCTTGGGACTCAAAGAGTTAAGGGAAGATCAATGGAAAACACATACATATACATAGATATGTCTATAACAGATATAAGATCCCTGAGTGAGTTTCTTGTTCTAATTTGGCCTAACAATTAGGTTTTTAATGAAAAATGTGACTAATTAATAATTTGTGGAAACTGAATATGTTGAGTCGAAGGCAGTAGATATCACACTCTAGCTGTAAACCACACTATGAGCCATGTTAGTGGTAAATGCAGAAGTAAAAGGAAATATGTTACTTTTTTAAAACTTTAAAATGTTTTGTATTTGCAGTTATGAGCTCTCTGATGAAGTAAAGAATGCCTGTTCAGTTGTGGGCACGTATCTCACAGATTCAACTTCCATACAGACCAAACAACTGGTGAATCTTTTCTGTTTATTTATGTGAATATCTTTTTAAAGCAATTTTTTCCCAATGTAAAGTTGAACAACAAGTATAGAGACGATAGACTGCATAACGGATTGTCTGGACAATTCCTACCCAGGTGGTGTAGTTATCTGTACCCTTGGCTTTGTGTTGAGAGACAGAAAAAGTGCATGGGGCTCATAGCAAAAGTGAATGGATGATCCTTAGTGCAACCAAGCCTTGCATATGTGTCACATCTTGTTTGAGAATGAAGGTGAATACACTTGATAATCAGCTGCACACACAGGTTGTGATTGTAACCGAATCACAAAGCATGCTAAGGTGAAGACTGGTGTGCTCCATACAGAATGACAAACATTGTTGCTTCAGATGTCTGCAGTAGTTAGCATCCTTTGGATAGTTTTTCCGGGGCTTACAGTACACATATGTTTGGAAATGAACAGGCATACAGTCTAGATGGTTCTGCACCACTCGGTGGTATACTGACAAGTTAGATATTGTCAAAGCCCTCTAGGAGCGAGTGAACAGTGCAGAGGCACAATTAGACTGTCATGATCTAAAGAGAATGGTCCAACTGGGAGGGATCAGGGGATCTGGCCAACTGTCCACACTCAGAGGAGAGGCAAGGTACACATTCTCTCAGACTGCTACTAGTACCCTCGGAGTTGGAACTCTTCGTTGCCTGCTGGAGATGACGGAGCACTTGTGGGAATTTCCTGAGTGCTGTGATGTTGGATCTTAAAACTCAACTTAACAGTGCCTGTCATATTAGACACATCTGTGTTGATATGGATTCAAATCACAAACAACCGTCACTGGGAAAATCCAAACCCCATCTATCCTAGCCTTGAACTTCCTCGTCTATGTCCCCTCAAGGTCCAGTTCACATAATCCCTTTTTTTCATGTAATTATCGAGGTAAAGATCGTTCACGTGTCGGTAATTTGCCACTTTCCTCAGTCAAATAAAAGTTCTGTTACTCGCTTGTCTGTTTAGACACTTGCATGCGGATTAGAAGGTCGTGGGTTTGCTCCCTAGCAGAGCCAGGCTTTAAAAAAAAATGACCTTGACCCCCAGGTCTACGCAGCCTTGAGTGGGTACCACATCATCCATCTTGTACCGATTGGTCTATAAATATATAGGTCTAGCCCTTTATGCCCTATACGCCTAATGCGTAGAAAAGGGTCCTTTACTTTTTTTTTTTAAAACTTGTTTCCAGATTTCATTGTAATAATTTCCTTTACACAGTCAGACCATGAAACGAACTATATAGTTAGTATAGTACAACTTTACTGAAAGCTATCAAGTTGACACCTATTATATCTAAAACAACAGAATGCCAGTCAAGAAATCCTCCAGCAGGAGTGGTTTCAGCTGTCCAGCCACAAACTGTCGAGTGCCCACAAGGTGGAAGACTTCCTGTCCTCCGTGAATGAGATCTCCAGTAGGCTTCTAGAATATGTCATTAATGTGGCAGATGCTAATGTAAGCTGAGTGAACTGTCATTTCAATACTGATGTGTCAGTCGTCTGTGTTGCATATTGGCAGATTTCTTTTTCTTACTTTTTTTTTTATATTCTAATATGTTCATATTTGTCTGTGTTGTCAGCTTGGCTTTTTTTTTTTTTTAATTTGCATACTTGTTTGTGTTGTGATCTTGGCTGTTTTTTTCCCCTCAAAGTTTTTTAAAATTTTAATATTATTCTGTGTTGTCTTCTTGGTTGGGTTTTTTTCTCCATTTCATATTTGTTTATACTGTGATCTTGGCTGATTTTGGGTTGTCTCGTCACCTACCTGTGAAATCATATGTATTACACAACAGGAACTCGTTGTTGTCTAAATCAGCAGTTCACGACACAACCCCACAGAGTACATATGTAGCATGTAGCGATATCTGTTGTCTGTACAATCCTGTAATTTGTCAGTGATGTCGTGACAGTTGCCTTCAATGTCATGTTAGCTGTCTGTGTTGTACCTTTCATTTTACTGTACCTGAGAAAGGAATTCAAATTCTCCGGGATCATATTTTTATCATCATAATATTCCTTGCCAGCCAGTATAGCTGTTCAGGCATTTCCACATCATGAGATGACCTAGGAGAGTATATCAAATACTGCATGTACATCCACATTTTGTGTCTAACTCTTCCACTTGGCATTGTGATGCTGCAAAGTAAACTCTAGAGCATGTCTGACAAAACTGTCTAGACTTGGCCAGTCAGATAGAAGAAATCTGGCCACAGAAGCAAACAAGAAAAACTATGTGGTACTGGCCTATTCTGTGTATGGTCCATGCTGGAGTAGATGGATAGCAAAAGATAACTAAAAACAATGAGTTGTTTGCTGCCTTGTATCTCCCAAATGTAGCAATGCAGCTCAGCTAGCTCACACTCTCTGTACACTTGTTAGCAATGTTTTAAATTTGCAGGATACAGTTTTCTATGATTTGAAGTCACCACCAACTTACTCTCTTAGTTACTTCTTGTTGTGAGTTGGGGCTTCTGGTCATTATGGCAGATAGGTGGGTTTACTGTTTTTTGCTTCTGACAATAGTTAAATTTAGCATTTTCCTCCATATATAGACTGATAGGACATAGTTTCATCGCTCAGCTATTGAGTTCAATGTATGGTGCAATACTGTAAGTTGTGGATTTTATTTGAAAACATCTGAACTGTACCCAACATGGTTTGTGTTGTGAACTGCAGATTCAGAAAAGGGTGAATAGGCTGTTGCCAGAAAACCTGTGGTGCCTCATGTGATCAGTTGCATGTACTACTGATCTGATCTAATGTAACTGCTGCTTCCATTGATGCTAAACTGCATTTCTAGTGTTGGTCTGTTTGTGTTGGCACTTCTGACTGCTACCTTATGCATTGAATGCACGTGTATGCTGTTGGATTTACCAAGACTGCAGTCTGTGCCAATTTATTTTTCACAAGAGACAGTGATGGACGTTCTGTGTGGTTTTCATTAGCACAGGAATGCAGCAATTATAGGGGACCCATTTGCTATGAAGTTGGAACTCTGACAATGTAATCTTCTGATTACTAGTAACTTCAAGACAGAGATATACGAGTCTCTTATCAGCAAAGGAAGAGAATAATCAAATCATTCAGAAAGCCACTAAAACCAGCACAAGACAATTACCATTTTATGGAAAGACCGGAGCAAGTCATTATTCTATGACTTCGAACAGGACACAATCGACTCCGCAGCCACATGTACACAAAATTTTAAATCGCAGAATCCGGCATGTGCACATGTGGATTGGCACCTGAGACAACAGATCATGTCCTCCAAGACTGTCCCAAATACAACATATCAAGGCAAAACTTTTGGCCAAGAGAAACACTGGTGCAAGTCAAACTTTACGGGTTGCTGAGTGAATTAAAAAGACTAAAGTTCATACTAGAGACAACATTGCAGATATAGATAATTTATTTCAAGTGAATGAAAGAAGAAGAAGAACAACTAGTAACTTCTTGTTGCAGTTACCATTGTTGCTGCTGACTTCTTGTTGCAGTTACCATTGTTGCTGCTGACTTCATGCAGCAGTTACCATTGTTGCTGCTGACTTCATGCAGCAGTTACCATTGTTGCTGCTGACTTCTTGTTTCAGTTACCATTGTTGCTGCTGACTTCTTGTTTCAGTTACCATTGTTGCTACTGACTTCATGCAGCAGTTACCATTGTTGCTGCTGACTTCTTGTTTCAGTTACCATTGTTGCTGCTGACTTCATGCAGCAGTTACCATTGTTGCTGCTGACTTCATGCAGCAGTTACCATTGTTGCTGCTGACTTCTTGTTGCAGTTACCATTGTTGCTGCTGCTGCTGTTTTGTATTACTGTAGTAAAATATATTGTACCCCTGGCAGGGAAATACAGCGATCCATTACTGCATCTCCCACTGCAACTTTGACATTGCCAGTCTGTTGCTAGACTCTAAGGTCTGCGATACCAACAGACGGAACAAGGCAGGCTACACTCCCATCATGCTCGCTGGTCTAGCTACAGTCCAGGATCAGCGACAGTATGAAGTGATCAGAAGATTGCTGTCCCTTGGGGAGGTGAATGCCAGAGCAACACAGGTAAGGTCTTACTTGTCTTATTCATCATTAACTGAGGGGTAGTTAGCATCCTTTAGATATTTTCTCCAGGTGATGCTGGTGTGTTGGGAAATGAGCAGGCAGATAGACTGGCTGGCTCTGCACCACTTGGTCGTGAATTGATGTATGACAAGTTAAATATTGTGAGAGCCCTTTGGGAGTGAATGAACAATGAGGAGGCGCAATAGATCATTACGGTCTGAGGAGAACGACGCTGCGAGGAGTTACCAGGGGATCTGGTCGACACTTAACACTCAGGGAAAGGATGAGAGGGATATACAATCAGACGGATACTGGTACCTTCAGAATTGGAACTTTTCTCTTGCTGCTGAAGATGGGGACTGAGTACATATGGGAGTTCCCCAGGTGCTGTTATGACGATTCTTAATTCAATATTCAACATAACTTTGGGGTATGAGGGAGGGAGGGGCAAAAGGGCAGAAAATGGGAGGGGGAGCCCTGGTGGGTCAGTTCCTACATAAACCTATTTGGCATTCTAGTGACTGCAGAGCTATAAATCAGGGCAAGCCAACAGGAGCTTCCAGTTTTGTGGTTTCCATGAAAGCCTAAGGCCGATGTTCTAAGTTCTCTGAAGGATGCAGGATGAGTAGATGATTCAGGAGACACCAGTGAATCAGCAACATTAAAAAAGACTACAAACTTTCAGGTCAAGAGAGATATTGCCAGACATAAACATTTTACAGATAGTCAAAGAAGAATAGTAAACCAACACAGAACTGTCGCAATACACTGATAGATATACTCAGTATGGCATCTGAATGCTAATGGGCTTGTCCAATCAGGATAGTCGATTAACTGACTGGGTAACAGTAAAAGTAAAGGATCATTTTCCCTGCCTTCAGCCATATTGGGCATATAGGGCTAGACCTATATTTTAAAGACAACTTGGCACTTAGTGGGTGATGTGGTCAGCATAATGAGGTCACCTTTACTTCCCAGGACTGCATCTGGAGCACACTCAGTCCCAGACAGAGACAAATCAGAGGCAAATCAGAAAGACGCAAATCAGACAGAGACAAATTAGACAGAGACAAATTAGACAGAGACAAATCAGACAGAGACAAATCAGACAGAGACAAATCAGACAGCGACAAATCAGACAGAGACAAATCAGACAGAGACAAATCAGACAGAGACAAATCAGACAGAGACAAATCAGGCAGCGACAAATCAGGCAGCGACAAATCAGGCAGCGACAAATCAGGCAGAGACAAATCAGACAGAGACAAATCAGGCAGAGACAAATCAGACAGAGACAAATCAGACAGAGACAAATCAGACAGAGACAAATCAGACAGAGACAAATCAGACAGAGACAAATCAGAAAGAGACACCCTAGTGTGGGTTTCCAGGCCCCCTTGTGGTAAAAACAAGAAAAGACCCACTACCTCTCCAACGAGCGTGTCATAGGACATCATCGTGCCAATCTGAAGCATGACCTGGGAAGCAAGCACCTCTGTTCCTACACCACTGCTGCCAACCCCTGTGTGTGTGGGGGGGGGGGGGGGGGGGGAAATGGTGTGGTGCTGGGCCACCAAATGGGAAAGAATGAGTTAAACAAACATCTGCTTGATCCTGGGAGTGAAGTGAAAATTGACAACTTTCCAATTCCTGCAGACACAGCAGACGGCACTGATGCTCGCTGCCAGTCATGGCAGAACAGAAATGGTGAAGCTTCTCATCGAAGAAGGTGCAGATGTTAACTTACAAGATGAGGATGGATCGACAGCTCTGATGTGTGCTTGCGAGCACGGTCACCTGGAGATTGTGAACGTTCTCCTCACGCACCCTGGCATAGATGTCAATCTCACAGACAGTGTAAGTCATCATCATCATTCTGTTCTGCTGTTTTTGTCACATAGGGCTTACAGCTGATTCTTCAGATGTGTTCTGTCCTTTGCAGTTCTTTCTGTCATCTGACATTTGTTATAGTTTCTCCTGGACATTTTCATTTCCTTGAGAGATTTTCTGTTAAGTCATCAGTTTTCGTCATCTTTTTCTTCTTCACATTCACTGACTGTAACTCTGACCGAAAGTTCTGGTTGTTCGTCCACTTCTGCACTTTTGTGTGGTTCCAGAACTTGAGCTTTGTATGCACATAAGTTTTACAGATCTGGCTTATTTGCATTTAAACTGTTGGTTCCTTGTCTCTCAGGCAGATGCACTATGACTTTGAAGAAGGAAATTTCCCTGATTAGTCCCTGGTACTACTCACAAATAAGAAAGAGACAAACACTGTTCTTTGGCCACATGATGAGAAGAGAGACATTGGAGAACATCATGACAACTGGAAAGATCAGTGGAAAAAAGGGTAGAGGCAGACCACAGAGAGAGATGATGCTGGATGGGCTGAAATGATGGCATGGAGGGATATCATCAAGAGAGCTGTTCCAGGCAACCAGGGATCGTGATCTGTGGAGACACATGAGCACCTACACCAGTTGGCAGAGCACATGATGAAAACTCACAAAAGTCACCCTATCTTGTTTGGCTGCAGGATTTCAGGCAGTTCTCACAGGCTATCCTGTGTTTTAGGGGTGTTATCAGATGCCTTCCTTTACTGTCCATACACCCCATGCCAACAACTGGCTCATGTTCGTGTAATGAAGTTAACACACTGTGTCCCAGATCTGTGTCCCACATCTGTGTCCCAGATGTGTCCCAGATAAAAATGCACAGCTTTCCTTCTGCAGCTCTCTTTTCTGTGAACCACTTTTTGTGTGGAATGTGTTTCACATTTTAAATTTGAAATAACATGAAGCTAGAAAGAAGGCAATGGATAGAATAGACTGATGCAAGCTGGTTGAGTTTCTGTGTGCCAAAGGGTATAGTAGAAAAGTAGAATTCTTCGGCACTGTTAGAATGTTTCATGCAACATCCGTGTAAGTTTACTTAGGACATGCACGTTTTTGAAGAAGATCAGAACAGTCTTGTAGAGCCACATCTCTGAAACTTGTATGTTGTGTCTTATGTTTTCATCATAACGAATAAATATAATTATTTTCTTTCAGTAATACATTTGTTTCTTTAAATAATTTTATACCCTAATTTTCTTGCAACATGATGCAAAAGATACTAGCATATATTGACTGGCATAATAGATGTGGAGGAAAGTCATAAACACAACAGGATAATAAAAGAAAACTATAGTTACCACACCAGGAATAAATCATAACTATAGTTACCATACCAGGAATAAATCATAACAATAATTACCACACCAGGAATAAATTATAACAATAATTACCACACCAGGAATATATCATAACAATTATTACCACACCAGGAATAAATCATAACTATAGTTACCACACCAGGAATAAATCATAACAATAATTACCACACCAGGAATAAATCATAACAATAATTACCACACCAGGAATAAATCATAACTATAGTTACCACACCAGGAATAAATCATAACAATAATTACCACACCAGGAATAAATCATAACTATAGTTACCACACCAGGAATAAATCATAACAATAATTACCACACCAGGAATAAATCATAACTATAGTTACCACACCAGGAATAAATCATAACAATAATTACCACACCAGGAATAAATCATAACAATAATTACCACACCAGGAATAAATCATAACAATAATTACCACACCAGGAATAAATCATAACTATAGTTACCACACCAGGAATAAATCATAACAATAATTACCACACCAGGAATAAATCATAACAATAATTACCACACCAGGAATAAATCATAACAATAATTACCACACCAGGAATAAATCATAACAATAATTACCACACCAGGAATAAATCATAACAATAATTACCACACCAGGAATAAATCATAACAATAGTTACCACACCAGGAATAAATCATAACTATAATTACCACACCAGGAATAGATTATAACAATAATTACCACACCAGGAATAAATCATAAAAATAGTTACCACACCAGGAATAAATCATAACTATAGTTACCACACCAGGAATAAATGCTATCTATAGTTTTCCTCTTTTTTTTTTAAATGTTGTATTATGTGTTCTCCTGTCTCTAGTTCATTCCTACATCTGTGACTGCCAATCAGTGCATGTCATTTTGTTTATTGTGCTACTGCCATGACCCTAGTTGTTCCCCAGGGATCAATTTCTGATTTCCTTGAACTGTCTGTCTGACATGCAGGAGAAGAGCACAGCACTCACCATCGCCATGGAAACAGGTCACAAAAACATTGGAGTGGTCTTGTACAAACATCTCAACTTTCCCAAAGTTTCATCGCCTGTAAGTACTTCCACTGTGTGTCTCTGTGTTTGCTGTTTGTTTCAGTGTTTCACTATGTCATTTCTTCTTCTTTATTGCGCTAATTGGCTGTAAACTCTAGTGGAAGGTTCTGATTCTCTATCCAGTTCTGGACTTTAGTCTTATTTGAGAATGTGTGTTTTACATGCACATTGGTTGCACAGATCTGGCATATTTGTATGCAGATTGTTGGTTCCCTAACTGTGTGGCAGATGCACTTCAGCTTCAAAGTAAAGTAAGTAAAGGTCCCTTTTCCACGCCTTTAGGCGTGTAGGGCATGTAGGGCTAGACCTATATTTTTTATAGACCAATTAGCACAAGATGGGTGATGTGGTCAGCATCACGCCGTCCGCCTTTACTTCCCGGGACTGCACCCGGTACCCACTCAACGCTGGGTCGACATAGGAGTCAAGGTCATTTTTGACAAATGTCCGGCTCCCCCAGGGAGTGAACCCACGACCTTCCACCAACTTTAAAGGAAACCCCTGATTAGTCGACTCTTATGACATGCTTGTTGTGTAGTTAATGAGTCTATTAACACCCCCACCCCTTCCACCATCATACATCAATTCACCACCAAGTGGTACAAAACAGTGTATCTGCCTGCTCATTTCCCAACACACCGATATGACCTGGAGAAAATATCCAAAGGACCCCACTTTGCATGGAGCATGCCTGTCTCCACCTTTCTCAACATGCTCTGTGAATTCGTTACAATCATGTGTACAACTGCGTTTCAAGCTAGCGGAAGGCAGCAATGACTACCTCCACCTACATTCTGAAACTAGACGTGTTATCAAATGTCAGACTTTGTTACTCTAAATGACGTCCATTTACTTATACTGTAAACCCCCTTGTACTTCGTCTGACCCTCAACACAGAGCCATCTGTGTAGATAATCACACCACCTGCATAGGAATTGTCATGAATCTGATGAAAAAGAAGAAAAACAATTAATTACCCAAATGTTTATGTCTGTAGACGAACTTCATACTACGCTGAACTTATAAGAACATATATTTTATAAATGTTTGTCTCAGTGAAATATACAAAGTAAAAAATTAACATGGCTTCTAACTGGCAATGAGTGCATTAACAATTCATTTAAGTGGTATAGTTTCACCACTACCTGGCAGTGCATTTATAAAAATCAATGTATTTAAAAAAACCGAAAAAAAAAACAGTATATCACTGATGCTGACTCTACTGCTTTTCTCAATATTTGTCCAGGGTAGCCACAAAAAAGAGAAGTTTCAGCTCTACCACTCAAAGGTGATTCTTACCACCCTATTCTTTTTCTGGTGCTTGTAACATTGTCCAGCCCAGAAAGAGAGTGATTTCCCTTGCCATTCATGCCTCGTCATGTCACAGGGCCTGTCATATGTTGCAGGGGTGTCACGCTTAGTGACCTGCCAGCAACACTTAGTATTATACTCATTGTTATCAGCGACTGGCAATATCACTTATTCTATATTCCACCATATCAGTGCTTTTAACAGTCCCAAAACATCTAGAACTGGCTCTAACCCCAACTCCCTCCCCCCCCCCCCCCCCCCCCCCCCCAACCTCCAGTTTTAGTCTACATCCAGGGAGAGAATGCAGCCTATGTCCCAAATGAGAGTGCAGCCAACGCCCCACGACTGCATGCAGCCTATAATATATGCTATACATAATATGGGATGTAGGCTGAGGCTGTGGGGTAGGGGGGTTGGGATTAGGGCCAGTAATACATGTTTTGGGACCATTAAAAGTTCTCACATCATGGAATATAGAACATGAACATGTGATATCACCGGCTGCTGACAACAACCAGTAAAACACTATGTGTTGCTGGCCGGTCACTTAGCATGATACCCCAACAACATAGGACATGCCCTGCGACACAATGAGGCATGAATGACAAGGAAAGTCACTCTTTTTCTGAGCCGGAAATGATACTTGAACCTCTTTTCCTCTGACTTTTATTTCCTTTTCACATTTTTTCTATTTTTCTTCTGCATTTGGTGTTGTTTCCATCCTTCCCTGTGCAACCTGTAGAAGCACCCATTTAAAAAAAAATTCTTTCTGTATTTACTTGTTCGTGCTTTTTGTATAGTTTGAGCTATTTTGGGGTGCTTTTGCTTTCTACAAATATATAACACACACATATATATATATATGTGTTTAACTGCACCAACATGCTGAGAGAGAAAAATGCAATCTGGAAATAAAGTATACCATGCCATTTCACATCTGCTAAAGTCAACACCATGAACAAAATAAAGAAAACGTTGATAATACCATTTGTTTTATATATGGCTCTGAAACTTAGAGTACAACTAAAAGAGATGAAGCCTTATTACAGGTTTTCGAAAACAGAGTCTTATGACGAATCTTTGGACCCATCAAAGATGCAAACAGCGGTGAATGGAAAGTGAGAAGCAACAATGAAATTCATAATCTGTTTAAATCACCACTGATCACTGGCATCATGAGAGCTAATAGACTGAAATGGTTGGGGCATATTGAAAGAATGTCAGATGACAGAGAAGTAAAACTGAATACACAAGGGAGATGAATGGTCGTAGACCACAAGGCAGACCAAGAAGAAGATGGGGAGATAATGTCCAGATAGACCTGCAAACACTTGGTGTCACCAACTGGAAAGAGAAGGCGACCCAAAGAGATGATTGGAGGCAGGTGATATCTGCAGCAATGAACCTCAAGGGTTTGGAATGCTGAAGAAGGCCAACCAGAGAGATGATTGGAGGCAGGTGATATCTGCAGCAATAAACCTCAAGGGCTCGGAATGCTGAAGAAGAAGAAGAAGATATATATGTATTTATACTTGATGCTATTAACTGGTGTTGGCTGCTGCTTGCTGTACTTTCATTCTTATTCTTAGCATTGACCTGCTGTAAACTCCAGCAACAAGTTCTGGTTGTTCGTCCACTTTAAAACTTTGGTCTTGTTCTAGAATATGAGTTTTGCGTGTACATCCATTTTACAGATGTGGGTTATTTTAATGCAGACAGCTGGTTTCTTGTCTCTCAGTTTGATGCTTTCTGACTTTGAAGGAAGCAGCCCTAATTAGTCACCTTCTACTTACTGGAGGAAGTGAGTCCACTCCCCCACCCAACACACACACACACACACACACACACACACACATACTCATGCACGTATGCATGGACCATATAAAACAAGTGGTCTTATCAAAGTTTTATATATTTTGATCTTGTTGTTGCAAGATAGAGACTTTGACTTTAACAGATGTTGAAGGGCATGCCGCCGGCTGCTTGTAATTCCCCTGGACATTATGTGGTGTCCATTTGAGGCTGGGTGGACCTAGGAGCTATGGTTAAATTTTAAACACATCCATTTGATACAGATGTAAACTCTAGACATTCAGGCTTGCAGGCGAGTGTTTTACTGCTCCACCACAATAGGCTCCTTACTTTAATATTCTCTTTGAATAAATGTCTGTATGTGCTGTTTCGTGATTTTCTTTGTGTGTAAACTTCAGTTTGATTTTTTGTTGTTGACTGCTTTGGTGTTGGCTCATTTTTTTTCTCTTATTTTTTTTTTAAAGCTATTGGCTGAAGTTTGCTTGATTGAATGCAAGCACTCAGACCTTAGGCATAATCGCATCACATCAATGCACTTTTAACATATCTCAGTAAACATATATAGTGTTCTGCTTATATATTGTTAGAAAAAAAGTATCTGGGTAGTGGGATTGGATGCCCGTGTGTATTGTTGGGCACGTAAAAAATCTTCTGGCAGGTGCAAAACTAAAAGAGTAGCCTAACAGCACTGCCCGTGCAAAATTTGAAGTTGAAAATATACCCAAAGTATTTCAGGATCCTCGCCGGTGCTACGGAGCTCCTGCACTGCGCTAAAATTCTTCACTCAGACTTGAGTTAGAAGAAGAACGGAGCACTTATGGGTTACTACCTATGTTCCATAATATTGATTCGTTGTTCAAACTTTAAACTTCTGTTTGTCTTTCTTCTTCTGTTTTTTTCTTTTTTTGTTTTTTTTTCTTAAATAGTATATTATTAAATTATTTTTGCTTCATAATTAGTGACACCTGTCAGAAATGTCCAGGTAATTCAACAATGAAAGATTCAGTTCCTGGTGTGTCGAATTTAATTATAACCACATTCTGGTTTAACCTAACTGAATCTTTCTAAATTAATTGTAACCGCAATATAAATTTACCTTACTTAATTTGAGTCTCCTTTAGTTTGAGCTGTTCTTGTAACTTTGGCTGTACTGTAAACTTACTTTCATTTAATTGATGCCTAACTTTAATTTTGCCTATAAATGTACCTGTATGTTTTAATTCATTGCGGTTTATTTTTAATTTAACATCACTTTTACTGTAACTTTGACTTAATTTTAATTTAACCTAATTTAATTTTAATTTCACTTTCGTTTTTTTTTTTAAATCTTATCAGCATGATTTTAAAATTAAGTGTAATTTTAACTTTAATTAACCTATTACTATAATGTCACTTAATTGTAATAATTTTAACTAATCTTCACAAAGCAGTCATATATTTTGGGTATATAGGGCTAGACCTATATTTTATAGACCAACGGCACAAGATGGGTACAGTGTATGGTTGTACGCCATGAATACAAGAAGAAGAAGAACAAGAAGAACAAGAAGAACAAGAAGAACAAAAAGAACAAGAACAAGAAGATGCAGCAGAAGAAGAAGAAAAAGAAGAAGAAGAAGAAGAAGAAGAAGAAGAAGAAGAAGAAGAAGAAGAAGAAGAAGAAGAAGAAGAAGAAGAAGAAGAAAAACAAGAAGAAGAAAAGCAAGGAGAAAAACATGAAGAAGAAGAAGAAGAAGAAAAAGAAGAAGAAGAAGAAGAAGAAGAAGAAGAAGAAGAAGAAGAAGAAGAAGAAGAAGAAGAAGAAGAAGAAGAAGAAGAAGAAGAAGAAGAAGAAGAAGAAGAAGAAGATGAAGAAGAAAAAGAAGAAGAAGAAGAAAAAGAAGAAGAAGAAAAACAAGGAGAAAAACAAAAAGAAGAAGAAGAAGAAGAAGAAGAAGAAAAAAAACAGAAAGAAGAAGAAGAAAAATAAAAAGATCAAGAAGAGGAAGAAGAAGAAAAGAAGGAAGCAGAGCAGGAATGTTACATACTAACCGTATCTTGTTTTAAATATAAACCAAAATAATACATATTTTACAGTAATTTGGGACACTGGAGCAGCTAAGATATCCAGAACACCCTATACTTGGAAAAGCCAGATCTGCAAGAACTGCATGATGGGAAGACAACAGACTTGAGCCTGTTAAATCTCAATGCCCTAATTATTGTTATATTAAACTTGTCTGTCTTATTAAGGACTATAATTACATCTGTTCATAGAAAGTTGTTATTTAACTATTTTCTGTCAGACCAGTTAAATTAACTCTTTCTAACACACACAGTAATTATTTTAACTCTTAAACCGACAGAATGCCAGTCACTATCTGAGGCCAATACGTTTATCCTTCTTAATAAAAGATTCTCCCCCCCCCCCCAATCATTTTTTGTGGCCTATAACATTTTCAGAATCCCCCCCCCCCCCCCAGTTCCATTTTCAAATATATCAGTTTTAACCAATTATAGCTTACAACTTTAATTTAATGCTTACCAAGTGTGAACGTTTTGTCTACATCTGACCCGTGTTTGGTTTGTCTCTCAACTATACGTTTTTTGTCTACCTCTCAACTACATGTGTTTTGTCTACCTCTCAGCTACATGTGTTTTGTATACATCTGAACTATCTGTGTTCGGTCTGTCTCTCAATTACATGTTTTTTGTCTACCTCTCAACTACATGTGTTTTGTCTACATCTGAACTATCTGTGTTTGGTCTGTCTCTCAGCTACATGTTTTTTGTTTACCTCTCAACAACAGGTGTTTTGTCTACATCTGAACTATCTGTTTTTTGTCTGTCTCTCAACTACATGTTTTTTGTCTGTCTCTCAACTACATTTGTTTTGTCTACCTCTCAACTACATGTGTTTTGTCTACCTTTCAACTACATGTGTTCTGTCTACCTCTCAACTACATGTGTTTTGTCTACCTCTCAACTACAAGTGTTTTGTCTACCTCTCAACTACATGTGTTTTGTCTACCTTTCAACTGTATGTGTTTTGTCTACCTCTTAACTACATGTGTTTTGTCTACCTTTCAACTACATGTGTTTTGTCTACCTCTCAACTACATGTGTTTTGTCTACCTCTCAACTACATGTGTTTTGTCTACATCTGAACTATCTGTGTTCGGTCTGTCTCTCAACTATATGTGTTTTGTCTACCTCTCAACTAGATGAGTTTTGTCTACCTCCCAACCAGATGTATTTTGTCTACCTCTCAACCAGATGTGTTTTGTCTACCTCTCAACTAGCTGTGTTATGTCTAACTCTCAACTATATGTGTTTTGTCTACCTCTCAACTATATGTGTTTTGTCTACCTCTCAACTAGCTGTGTTATGTCTACCTCTCAAGTATATTTGTTTTGTCTACCTGTCAACTAGATGTGTTTTGTCTACCTCTTAACTATATGTTTTTTTCTACCTCTCAACTATATGTGTTTTGTGTACCTCTCAACTATATGTGTTGTCTACCTTTCAACTATATGTGTTTTGTCTACTTCTCAACTATATGTGTTTTTTCTACCTCTCAACTATATGTGTTTTGTCTACCTCTCAACTATATGTGTTTTATCTACCTCTCAACTATATGTGTTTTTTCTACCTTTCAACTATATGTGTTTTGTCTACCTCTCAACTATATGTGTTTTTTCTGCCTCTCAACTATATGTGTTTTGTCTCTCTCAACTATATGTGTTTTGTCTACCTCTCAACTATATGTGTTTTGTCTACCTCTCAACTATATGTGTTTTATCTACCTCTTAACTATATGTGTTTTGTCTACCTCTCAACTATATGTATTTTGTCTACCTCTCAACTATATGTGTTTTGTCTACCTTTCAACTATATGTGTTTTGTCTACCTCTCAACTATATGTGTTTTGTCTACCTCTCAACTATATGTTTTTGTCTACTTCTCAACTATATGTGTTTTGCCTAACTCTCACGTGTAGTGATGGTCTTGGTGTCATACATTTACTGCAGGGGTTTAGAGTATTTAGTAGACAATTAGAATGTAAACTTTTATTTACTGTCTATATTACACAATGTGTACACGAATTTATACAATAGAATAACTGTATATCCTTGAGTTGTTAAGCTTTGATTTGTGGTTGGTGTGGTATTTTTCTCTGAGTTATGTTACATAACTTATTTTGTTTACCTTGGAATATTATAAAATAACCCATAAGGTTATCAGAAATTGTTGTTGTTGTTGTTGTTGTTGTTGTGTTGTTGTTTGTTGTTGTTGTTTGTTGTTGTTGTTGTTGTTGTTGTTGTTGTTGTTGTTCTTCTTCTTCTTCTTCTTCTTCTTCTTCTTCTTCTTCTTCTTCTTCTTCTTCTTCTTCTTCTTCTTCTTCTTCTTCTTCTTCTTCTTCTTCTTCTTCTTCTTCTTCTTCTTCTTCTTCTTCTTCTTCTTCTTTGTCTTCTTCTTTTTTCTTCTTCTTCTTCTTCTCCTCCTCCTCCTTCTCCAACTCCTACTCTTCTTCTAATGTGTACTACCACCACTACCACCACTACTACTTTAAATTGTTTTTATTTCATTACCAGCGATAAACATTCGGAGTAGCCTTCGCATTCAATGATAAAGGCGATTATTTTGTTTGATTGGTACGGGCTCTCAGGCGGACCAGGCCATGATTAGAAACCTGGGAAATAAAAACGGCCGGCGCGGCGTGATATTGGCTATCTCACCTGCCAACACCCGACTAAGGCTTAACCACTTGTTAGGGCTGTGTAGGAAACGGGGTACCTAGCTAGAGACACACACACCGTTTTCCTTGCGTACTTTCTCACTGATTCCATGAACGTGCTTATAAGGATCGAGTCATAATTGATTCGAAGATGATGGTTGGCGTCTCTGGGGGAAATCTCGTCTGATAGAATCAGTTTTATTTATGTGTGGCAGGACCCTTCTGTGTTAAAGGGAATGAACGTGTGGATTGGCTTGCTGGCTGGGCCACTGCAGGCATAAGAAAGGCAACGAAATAGGACGATGTTCTTGAGGTACGTAGGTAGGTGCTTTGCTGGAGAACAAATCGTCACGTTGAACCAGCTTCCTCAAAGTGGGTACTTTAGGTTATACTTGTGACTAGGTTATGTGCACCATATGAAATGGCTTAACATTGCACGCCACCAAGAGCCCTGAAAAAGACTATTAATGCGATCGAAGGAGGCAGACCCAAATACTGTCCCGAAGGGCGATAAAGTCGTCTACCGGCGAGCCAGTGGGCAACCCTGTCGCCGATGAGTAGTGTGATATCAGGGAGACAGTATGAGTAAGCGATTCAGGAGACGACAGTGAGTGGAGGACTTTGACAAAACTACAAGAACTGCATGTCAAAAGAGGTGTTGCCAGACGTGAACAGTATACAGTCGACCAGAGAAGAACAGTAAACCCGCAACCAGAGAAGAACAGTAAACCCACAAACAGAGAAGAACAGTAAACCCGCAACCAGAGAAGAACAGTAAACCCGCAACCAGAGAAGAATAGTAAACCCGCAACCAGAGAAGAATAGTAAACCCGCAACCAGAGAAGAACAGTAAACCCGCAACCAGAGAAGAACAGTAAACCCGCAACCAGAGAAGAACAGTAAACCCGCAACCAGATAAGAACAGTAAACCCGCAACCAGAGAAGAACAGTAAACCCGCAACCAGAGAAGAACAGTAAACCCGCAACCAGAGAAGAACAGTAAACCCGCAACCAGAGAAGAACAGTAAACCCGCAACCAGAGAAGAACAGTAAACCCGCAACCAGAGAAGAACAGTAAACCCGCAACCAGAGAAGAACAGTAAACCCGCAACCAGAGAAGAACAGTAAACCCGCAACCAGAGAAGAACAGTAAACCCGCAACCAGAGAAGAATAGTAAACCAGCAGCAAAAGAAGGATAGTAAACCAAGACTGAACTGGTGTTATCAGTTGCCACAAGCTGATAGAGATACTGAAGGTGGGATCCGAGCGCGTATGGACTTTTCCGATGAGAGTGACTGGTCAAATAACTAGAATAACTAACTAGGAACGCCGGGGTTTAATGGCGCATGGCGTGCAGTCGTCACCAGCTGTTGAGGAACTGTTTCTACATTTTCATGTCTGCTGGGCATATAGGGCTGGAACTAAATTTTATAGACCAGTCGGTAATTGGTGGGTGATGTGGTCAGCATCACGCCGGGCGCTTTTACTTTCCAGGAATGCACCTGGTTAGCTGCTCAAAGCTGGGTCGACCTGGGTCGACCGCTACACCACGGCGGGTCCCAGCAACTGTTAAAGCTCCCAATTACAAAATACGCCAGTAGATATCAAGGGACTGTACTACGTTTTAACGTTTCTGTCAAGCGTCTTATTTTCTCATGAATTGTTTCCCTTGCCTTGCTTTGGTTTTTGTGTTGGAGGAAAAGTTAGTTGCGTATCTATTACAGGACGTCGTAGAACCAATCATTTTTTGGCTGTTGTAGTTTTTCT